GCTGTGTTATGGCTTGTGTCTAGATTTCCCAGCAAAGCTTCATACAATCATAGGTGGGGTTTTTCAGAGGTGGCTGGATCTAGAGTATGTGATGCTGGGATTGATTCATGGTGCAATGCTAGCATCAAGGGCACAAGGATTAAGGCTGTGAGAGCTACCCTCCCTAAGTAGCCTAGATAAGATTTAAGGGATACAAAGAGCTGTGGTCATCCCTTGCTTGCTTTGCTACCTTCTGCCTGCCATGAAGAGTTTCTCCTCTGTGATCCCTGTCTGCCTTGCCACCCTGCCTTGGAGCTAGCCGATTATGGACTGAAACCACTACAAACTGTGAGCTAAATGAACCTTTCCTCCTTTAACTTTGGGTGTCTGGTATTTTGTCTCAGCAACAGGATCAATAACTAAGACAACCTGTGTCTGGTTTTGACAACAGCAATACTGACTTCATAGGATTATTTTGACAGAGACCTTTGTTTCAATTTTTAGAATAATTTGAGAACATTTGTATGAAGTCTTTTCAAAGTATTTTGTAGAATTCAGCAATGAGACAATCCTAGGATTGTCTTTGTTTGGGAAACTTTTATTACTGATTTAATTGCATTGCTTTTTATTAGTCTTTTCATGTTTCCCATGTCTTCAATGTTCGATATTTGTAGGCTATATGTGTGGAGAAATTTATCCATTTATTCTGGGTTTTTAAAATTTGTTAGTATACATTTGTTCATGATAATCTGTAATAATCCTTTGTATTTCTGTGTTACCAATAGTAATATTGCTCTTTTCATCTCTGACTTTATTTATGTCTTCACTCTTTTTTTTAACTGATTACCCTCACTAAAGATTTGTTGCTTTTGTTTATCTTTTCAAAAATGACTTTGTTTCATTGATCTTTAATCTCATTTACTTGGTCTTTATTGAATTTATTTCTGCTCTGATCTTTATTATTTCTTTCCTTCAATTAGTTTTGGATTTAGTTTGCTCTTGTTTTTCTAGTGTTCTTTCTCTCTCACTGGTGCTTGAAATTGAACCCAGAACCTTTGCACTGGGCTATATTCCCAGTCCTTTTTTATTTTTTATTTTTAAAACAAGTTCTCACTAAATTGCCCAGGCTGGGCTTAAATTTGCAATCCTCTTGCCTCAGCCTCCCAGAGTGCTGAGAGTGCAGATTAGTGCCACTGTGCCTAACTTCTCTTTTTTTGATGTACTAGTAGATTTTTATTTCCATAAACTATCTTCTTAGTACCATTATATTCCATAGCCCATAGGTCTTTGTATATTGTTCTTTGTTTTCATTTGTTCCAAGAAAGTTTTTAATTCTTTTTTTATTTCTTCATTAATTGATCAAATAGTAATTCAGTAGTATGCTACTTATTTTTCATATATTTATACATTTTAAATCCCTCAGTGTGCCTGAGGGACAAAGGGCTGGGGGTGGGGTAGGGGTGGAAGTCCAAAATATAGCACACTTTGCCAGTTAATTAAAGGGTTACGGCTTCTGCCTAGAATGTATTTGTGGTCCTTTGTTAGGTCTCAGAACTGAGAGTGACAGCCACAGAGCACGGTCACGTCCTCAGGTAACACGTTGTGCATGTGCCTTCTGATTCCTGGCTACCTGGCATTCTAACTCCGAAAGAGGCACAGGGCCATTCCTCGCTCCCTTGGCCTATGTCTGTTCACATGTACAGTATGGCTGACCCAGGGTATAGAGAAAGGAAGTGTCCTCTAAGGACTCTTCCGCTCTGGGACTGGAATCTAGGTTAAATTAAGATGTTCCTTTTGGTGATTTTCCTAAGTCATGAAAGCTCCTGAGCAATCACTGACCATCAGAAGAGGACAGGATAGGAAGATATTTTGCAATTCCGAAGTGGTTTCTAAGTAAATCGTTGATAAGCACCCTCATTTTCCCACTTCCCTGGACCCCAAGTGTAACTCTCAGGGGTGCATAAAAACATGTCCAGCCTACCTTCTACCTTCTCATTGGAAGTCATAAGTTCTCTCTCTCTCTCTCATTGATTAAGCTTCATTGCATTATGATCAATAATGATACATGATATGATTTTAATTTGGAACTCGTTTTGTGAGCTAACATATGAGCTATCTGGAGAATGTTCCATGTGCACATGGGAAGAATGAATTCTGCAGCTTTTGGATGAAATATTTTATAAAAGTCTGTTAGGGTTACTGTGTCTACAGTAGAGTTTAACTCCAATATTTGTTGTTGTTTTTCTGGTTCTAAATAACTTGCCCATTGATGAAAGAGAAGAGATAAAGTCTCCAACTATTATTGTATTGGAATCTAATCTTTAAATCTAATATTTATTTTATAAAATTGGGTGCTGCAGCATTGGGTGCATATATATGTGTTGATATTCTTTTTCTTTTTGAGTTGATGTCATTTTTTGTGTCTTTTTATTTTTGACCTACAGTCTGTTTTATCTAAAAGAAGTATAGCCACTCCTGGTTTCTTTTGGTTTCCCTTTGCATGCTATTTTCCCAACACTTCATTTCTTATCTATGAGTATTTTTACTGGTGAAGTTTCTTATAGGCAATATACAATTGGGTCTTGTTTTTTACCTCAGCTACTCTTTATCCATTTATATTCAAGGTTATTATTGATAAGTAAGAATTTACTCCTGTAATTTTGTGAATTTTTTATTGCTTTGCATATTCTTTGTTCCCTTTCCTCTTACTTATTTTTTTAAATCTTTTGTAGCTTGGTTGCCTTCTATAATGATAGGGTTTGATTCTTTTTCTTCCTAATTTGTATATATCCTATACCAGTAAGTTTTATTCCTTCACATGTTTTTATGATGGTAGTCATTCCCCTTTCTCTTTTAGAAATAGAGTTCTTTTTAATATTTTTTGTATGGAGAGTCTAATGATGATGAATCCTTCAAGTTTGCTTGTCTTGGACAGTTTCAAAAAAAGAAAAATGAAGAGAAGTGAATGGGATAATTAATACACTGTTTCTAAGTAAAAATTATTATAAATCACTTTTATTTTGTCAAGAAGTGGTGTATGTGCATGTGTATGTGCATGTGTGTGTGTGTGTGTGTGTGTGCGCATGTGTGTGTGAACTTTTCTTTCATTTCTTTAACCATTATGTTTGAAAGCTGAGCATAGTATCTGTTGGGAGCAATGCTACATAATTCTAGGGAAAAATCATTTGGTTAGCCTAGTTCTCTTGCCTACAGCCCAGCTACAGAATAACTCCAGTTTGGCCTCTGGTCACAACTGAGACTTCAGTGATCCAGTGATGCTGTGATTCTTCAGGACAAAAAACATCCTGGGAAAACAAACATCTGCTCAGTTCCTCATTGTTCTTGGACTGTTAATATCTTGTTTGCCGGAGATGTACTGAACTCTCTACAAGCTTTCTGTTACACCTTGTTTATCCCAATGTAAACTACTAAACTCTTTGCAAGTCATTTGTTATCATGGGAAGGGTAGGTACCGCTCTCTGTGAGGCCTGGCAAAGGGGTGATTGACTCTCCCCTGAATGCTACACACTTGGGCCTTAGTCCACTGAGGTCAAAGTTGCTAGCCATTATATTTGTGATTAAAAACTTCCCTCCCCAACCTCTTAATATTTTAAATGATTCCTCTTACACAGTTTGGTTGACTCAAAGACTAAGGAGCTATGGTCTGCTCTATCTTAGAGCCTTTATAAAAATGGAACTCGTCAATTTAATGTAACATGTGATAATTGTACATTGTCAAATTGTGTAAAATTCGGGTATCAAAATGTTTTAATAATTCATAGGCGGATTTCTGTTTATGTTTCTTCTTTTCGTGATATTCAGCCAGCGTGTTCGATCCATGTTCTCAACAATGGCTGTTCAATTACATCGTTAAAAATTGATCACCCTTAAGTAAGAGGCCGGTTAGTCAATGACGGGTTTGAGACCAGGAAAATCTCTTACCAACCTAAGGCAGGGAAATTTCTCTTCCCTATGACGGGTAAGGTGGGATTTTGTCCTGAGATCTCACCTAAGACAGGCACGGTCATCTAATAAATAAAACAGGGGGAGATGTGGGGAGCGGTGGCAGCCAAAAAAGCTCCATTTTAAGTTTACCCTCCGTTGTAAATAGTTAGGAGATTATGTTATGGGGAACCGTGTCCTTGCCAACTCTGATGCTTACCTTCAGAGGTTGCCTTAGAAACAAGATGAATGTTCTGTAACCTCAAGAAACAAAGTAGCCCTTGAGGGCGGGGAATGTTCTGAAAATTAGTAAACAAGGAAGCAGGTGTTTTTTGTATAAAGATCATGATTAATGACCTAACTCACTGAGTGTATAAAAGAGAGGTATAAATAAACTTGCTCGCTTGGTCTTGGGAGCCCTCCCGACTCTGTCTCTTTGTCTTATTTTCTCAGTCCTTCTTTCCCCCATTCAGGAACCTTTCGACTGGTGACGGCTGGTCCGTCACAAGTATCTCACTAAGAAATCATATTAAATGTTGAATGTAGATAAACATTTTGTGTTGAATTTTGCATTGTGAAATTATAGTAGAATAACTTGACAGTTTCAATTACCTGTAAAATGATCCCATACTGAGATATCTGTTTGCATCATATTTTGGCAACATCAATAATACTTCTTCTCCCAGAAGCCTGCAAAATTTACCTTTTGGCAAGTGATATGGTAACAGATCTTTAGAGAAGTGTTTTCCTAATTCCTATGCATAATACTTTTAATAATACAGTCAGTCCTGTGATTGAAGTTCGAAAATAGTTTGAACTCTTAAGTGTCACGAACTACTTTGTTTTTCTGTTTCTTCCTGTGCAACTTGTGCTGCTGATTCCAAAACAGAACAACATCCAGTAAAAATAACCAGGAAATGTTAGATAAAGGGATACCCCCCCCCAGAGAAGTAATAGGAGAGGTGATCTAAATGTTATTAGTTAGTTCCAGGGTACTTGCTCCAAAAAGTAATTGACCTTTCCGTGTAACTATAAAAGCAAGAAGGCAGAGAAAGAGAGATGTAGAGTAGAAAGAAGAAAAGAAAATGCAGAGCTGAGGTAGCTGGTTTCTAATGAGAGAAAAAAGAGAATAATTTAAATTTGCTATTATTCAGGCATTGGGATATAACAATGCCCTCCATTTTGCTGTGCACCTTTTTGCTTCACTTCACCATTGCTGTGGCATCAAATCCGTAAGGGAATGTTAACTCTGTTTATGTTAAAGTACTAGCAATGTGACTCCATTAAAAATATTCTATATTAAATATGATTATATTTTACCATTTCAACTTCTGAGACTGAGTACTTGTTTGCCCTATGAATTTTAAGCAAGTATGAAGGGAATGAACATTTTATTCTTAAGGTACCACTCTCTTTGTTTGCCCAAGATTATTATAATTTTACCTATGAAAATGTGTATGTTTCAGGAATATTTCAATTGCTAAAATTCATTTTTGTAGATGTTCTCCATTTCTTCTAAGCTTGTTTATGAAGTGTTGGTTACTTTCTTTGTACAGACAATACATCCTATGGGCCTCCTCGGTGGTGCAGAGTTACTCGACAGAAAGAGCTTGTCTCCATCTCTTAAACCTTAATGAATCTGTATCCCTGAATGTTGTCTTAGAACATGATGGCTCTAATACTACTATTTTTGATCTGTCTGTGGAAGAGGATACCTTTTATGCCTGTGCAAATTTCAAGGTAAGGCACTAAATTTAACATTCAAGACTGCAGGTGGAAACATGAAAACATTGCTTTAAGTTGTTTTTAGATTTCAAATCTTGATTTGAATGACTTGTGGAAACAGGGAGCAAAACAAGGAATTTTAGAGAGGCAAAAAATAAAAACATTTCTACATGCACAAAACTTATGAAATATTACCACTCATCTACTATAGGAAATGATAATGAATTATTGCTGCATTTTGGATGGTAAAAATGTTCCACAGTATGAGGAAAACCAATTTACATGAAGAGAAAAAAGGGTTGGATTCAGAGGAATGACAACCACAAAACAGAGATAGAAAACAAGAAGACATAAACATAAATTACTATCCTCTCAATAAATTAACAAATTGTAACGAGTGATGATCAAGTCTTTCCTTAGGAAATAATGGATTTATAAGGCTCTCTCTGCCTGATAAGCCAAATTAAGGAATTGTTATTTTTCTATTCTCTGTTTTCCTACATAAACAGGTCTCTCCGAAGTCCTCTGAACAACTGGCTTTTATCACATTGTTGGTGAAAGGAGATACTCTCAAAGTCTCTGAGAGAAGATCTGTAGCAATCACTTCAGAAGAGACAGTAACTTTTGTGCAAACAGATAAACCCATCTATAAACCTGGAGACAAGAGTAAGATAATATTTTGACTTCTTTTGATTTTCTTTTGCTTTGCTTCATAAAGTATTGCCCCCTCACTTTTCACTGTATGCAAATTCCAGTGACAAGCCTCCATAATACAATGTTCACAAGCACGGAAAGTGGAGTAAAACTGTTTGGACTGAAGAATTGCTCCACAATTTGCCAGTTGCACAAGTTAACTGACTCTCTTTCGTGGTCTCAATTATTTTATCCATAGAGTATAGGTAATGAAAATTTTTCTCTTACAGAAATATAGCAAGAATAAAATGCAGAGCTAAGGTAAAACAGTGCCTAGTATACAGCAAACATCTCATAAATAATATTTATCATTTTCATTATTATTACTCATGTTTGTAGATGTAACCAAACACCTAATAATCTAGGAAAAGCATTTCTATTTTATTTATTATTGATGTACATAAAAGTAGCAGAAAGAACACCATACTAAAATTCAAGAGTTTGGTTTTGATTTTGGCTTTCTGTTATTGGCTTTTGACAAGTAAATTCTGATCTTAATACTTGATACTTAATTATGTCATTTGTAAAATAAAGAATAAGAAATTATCTATAAATTTTGGCTTCTTTGATAGCACCTATTTATAAGATTTATTGAAAAGAAATAAAAAACTAAAATAAAATTCTTAGAGTGATTTTTGGATGCATTGTACCTCTTCTTCTGGACTTACTAAAATGTTATGATGGATAAATATAGATGTAGTTATAGGTATAGATATATGGACATACAAAAAGAGCTAAAATCTTTCCTTCTAGCTCTGCTAAAATTGCTGCTGCTAAAATTAAATTTTGCTATATCAATATATTTCTCCAGGAAAATTTTGTTTATCTTCTATCATATATATTTTACATTTGTCCCTCTATTACTAGTTCTATTACCAGACTATTACTAGCCTGAAGATATTCCTATGGGTTGTTAGGGCAAACGTTTCTGATGGTGCCCAGTGTCAACTTATATAACAGCAAAAATCGTTAACAGAGGGATTGCAAACATGCATAAGCAATCTTTCCCAGTGGAACCCAAATCTCAGAGGATCAAATGAAATCCAAGGGAAAAGGGAACTTAGTATTCTGTAACAGTGGAGCAATTAATTGCTATATCTATTTAAAATAAATGTCTGGGAGAAAATAAGAAAAATATCTCTTGCTTCTCTCTTTCAGTTAACTATCGTGCTGTGACATTGGATACTCAATTCAAACCTGTTAAGGATTTGGTGAGTTTGATCATTTCTAATGGTACAATAAATTAAAGATATTAAACAAATCCATTGCTATACAAAGTCTTCAGGGAGCTTTCCATGTAAGGTTCCTAGGTGGAATATTATGCTAACCTCATGTTTAACTGTAAAATTTTCATTTATATTGAGTTGATTTACATTTCTTTGGGCCTTTTCATCAAATAAAGAAGCCATGGGTTTCATGGAACCTATTTTCCACATCCCAGAAGAGGTTGGGGACCACTTTCACCCTTAGTGTGTGTTTGGCATCTTTAGCTACAGAAACTTTATTGCCTGGGGAAGTGAGGGTTAATGCCAATGGGTGTAATTTATACAAATAATGGGTATTTGGCCAAAAATAATGTATTACTATTAAACTATTAATCTTATTTTTCTTTTTCAGTATCGTTTAATCACACTTCAGGTAAGAGATCTGCTTTACACACCCATTCTTTAAAATATTTAGATGACTAAGGAGATGTTTAAATTCCATTTAGTATACTTAGAAATTAAGATGAGTGAGGTAAGGGAAAGGGATATCTCTGTGTGTGTACACATGTAGGCAGCAGGTGAAGATAGAAATGAAAGCTTGTTGAATTTAGTGCAGGCTGTGGGGAAAATGCAATAATTTGGTTTTTATGGAATATAAAATATTATATTCTGAGACAGATTTATGCTTGAAATTTCTTAGTTTTGGCTGCTGGTCCTTCTGCATCTTCAAATAAGCCATATCTTATTTTAAAAGAAATAGAAAGCGCAGACATTTCAAAATGTAAATATAACTACAAGGTGATTTTATTCATTATAAAATGGATTCTGCTTTCAGAATGTAGTTAACAGAGCCTCCTTTTACCATCTTAATTCTCTAGAGTAGTGGTGGCCTTCAAAGATATTTGAAGTTGTATGCCTATCAATAAGTAAGTTTTATCAGTCAACTCCAGCCTACATATTTTATTCTCTACTACAATATGTGCCATTATTATTAGCTAATTCTAAAGGTTAATTAATGATATCAATATAGGCTTCAAATGATCTTCTTTATGATTCGAATGTTTCCAAGTCTATATGGGTAGCAAATAGCTTATCATCATAATCAGTTAAATTTCAGGTAGGCACATCCACATTTCTGCATTATTACTAATCCACAAATTGTATTATCTTCACATCTGGACTCAGCAAATGCTATGTCCCACTGCAAGCAACAGAAAACTAGCTAACATTGGCTTAAATGAGGAAAAATTTATAGTTTTCACAAACCATGAAGCACAATATCACCAAGCCTCCAGACTTCCTCTGTGTAACCTCTTTGCCACCTTCGACATGGTGCTTGCTTGCTCTTAATGCCAGATGAGTCTGAATTGTTTAGAAACAATTTCTACCCAGTGACTTCCGCTACATTTAATTGATCAGCACTTGGCCACATTAGTACCCCTAACTGAACGAAAACCTGAGGAATTATTTAAAAGCAAATAAGAATTTTGTTTCAAGTCTAATGAGTATGAATTATACAAAATAATGGATTTATAATAGTATGTTTCCTTTATGGAGATCTTTATTAGGATCTATTAGAATTAGATGGTATAGAATTATTAAATCAGGCTCCTGTAATATGAGCTACATCTGTTCAAAGCAAACGAAAGGAGAAGGGTGGTATTCTAACCTTTTCTCATCAGAGAGCTTCCATTTAGCAGACAGTACATGCAGTGCCTAATCCATGACCATTTAGATAGAGATCAAGTAAAAACCTGTGCCAGTTTGGATTGGTGTTGGTGTGAGTCCATTCTAATTTGGGGAACACCACTTGGAAGCCACCACATTGAGTTTTTTTGTGTTTTTTGTTTGTTTGTTGGTTGGTACTGGGGATCGAACTCGGGACCTTGCACTTACGAGACAGGCGGTGGAACCACTGAACTAAATCCCCAGCCCCATATTGAGTTTTTAATCCTTTAATTATGTAACTCTGATCAAAATCAGAGGTGTAAGTTATAAATTATTTCTTCTTATCATCTTTGGTCTCAAGAGGATAGACTTTAAGACTGAATTTGAATATATTGAGCAAGTTACATTGCTCTAATGATTTGAGGCAATGGGTTCAATATAATGATAACACTTTCTTTACTTCCAGTGGCTACAGAAAATACCAAGACATAGGATCAGGGATTTAGCTCAGTGATTCCGCTGCCTGCCTCGAAAGCGCAAGGTTCTGAGTTCAATCCCCAGTACCAGAAAAAGAAAAGAAAATACCAAAACAAAGAAGGAAATGATCCTACTAGCATCTAACCTCTGTATTTTCCAGGATCCTCAAAACAATGTGATTTTTCAATGGAAAAATGTGACTTCTGTCCAAAATATTACCCAGCTCTCATTCCAACTGAGTTCAGAACCAATGTTTGGGGATTATACAATTGCTGTGGAAGGAAAATCAGGACAGACATGGACACATCAATTCACTGTTAATAAAGATGGTAACCAACTTGCTATTTGTCCTATATAAATGCGTTCAAAGTAACTGAACAAAACCTTTATGTTGGTCTTAGATAAAAATAGTGAAGCTTGTTTTGGTGTTCGGACATCTCCTTTCTTGTCCTTTTCTGCTGTCCCATCAGTCGTTTCTTGCCCCTCACTGCTTGGCCTATGTCTTTATCCTGATCCTTGCCTTTTCTGCAAAAAATATCCCGTTTCCTAAAATGCAGACAATGTTCTAGAAATGATCTATGTGATTACACAGAAAAATAAAATGAAGTTCAGAGGGCAACGAAGAGAACAAAAAGGAGAAAAATTAATCCTTTATGAGACGCCATGCTGTACTGCAGAGGAACGGTGTCCACAGGATTGGGGCGATTGAAAACAGCCGGCACAAGTGCACCCGGAGGGCAACAGTGGGCCCAAGAACCACACGTAGCTATGTGACTGCAGTACGTTTTGCTCACGGGCGATTGTGGAGGTTGAAGTGTATTTCTTTTTGTTTTCAGTGCTGCCCAAGTTTGAAGTTAAGGTCAGTGCACCACAAACAATAACTATTTCAGATGATGAATTTCAAGTGGATGCGTGTGCAAAGTAAGTATTTATTCAAATTTGCCCCCGCAGGTAACCACAAAGCTCAGAGAGAATATTATAAAACTTTAATTATTTACATTATTACATTAAAATACTTAGAGAATTTTTGAACATTTCAAAAATATAAAGAAAACCACACAATGAGCTATAATTAATTCTATTACCATTAACATTGTGATTTATTTTCCTCTAATCTTTTGTGAATATTTTTCATGTTGCAATAATACTTTTCTATCCACAATACTTAGGAAAACATATTTCTATATTATGGCAGTCTTTTCATCTGTTCCAATTCCTTACTGCATAATATCTTTATATAGTTATATCACCTTGTACTTAACTACCATTTTACTATATAACATGTAGTCTTCCATTTTGTTTTCCTAGTAACTAATAATTTTGCAATATATACATTTTGGCCAAAGTGTATAATAGTGATTTTTTGTAATTACAAAAAAACTTGTTTACTTAGGAAAGTTTTCCAGAAAAGGAGATACAAAGAAAAATATTTAACATTTTTCTAGTCTTTTAATTGCCATTTTGCTCAACAATTCTATTGTGCCAAAGTACAATTTCAACAGTTGATATAAAAGTGCCTACCTCACTGAAACTTCATCATCATTGAGTATTCTCATTTAAAAAAGAAAATGGTATATCAAAAGTATCCTAGTAGCATAAGGAAATGTGTAATTTATTTGAATTCATTAGAGTTTTCTTAATATTAAAAAATCTTAGATGACTTGAAAATTTTTTGTTTTCTTTTTGAGAAGTTACTTCTAATGCTTTTTATCCCTTTTTGTGATTCTTTCCTCAAATTTCTAATAATAATGAAAAACAACTGATATTTATTGAGTCCAATTGAGTCCCAATTACTGTGTTAACAACTATATATATTCTCACACCATGTCATAAGATAGGAGCTAGTATCATTTCGATTTTATAAAGAAGGATAGTAAGACACAAAATTGGAATAATTTATCAGCATTAATAGATATTTTTGATGGCAGAACTGGGATTCACACCTGGGCTATTCAGTTTGAGAGCCAATCTTATATTTAAACGAACACTTAAGAATTAATATTTGCCATATTTGTTAATTATTTTATTTAACTGATGTCATAAAATTCCTAACCTTTGAATATTCTCAGTAGTATGTTAAACATACATTGTGTAAAGGGCTACATACAAAACGTGATATGTACATGTGACCATTCCCCAAGATAATTGTAAACTATGTGTACTGCAAACATGTACAAATAGAATAATAAATATTTTAAATGCTGGGAACTGGCATTTTAGTCCATGTTTTGGTAATATTCAAAATCTTTGGACACTAGAAAAATGAGCATAAAATTTCTCTGTTTCATGCAGAGCAACTGAGTATGTACCCGCATTTAGATTTATGAGATTATTGGTTATCTATGTGTAAAATGATGGGATAGTGAGTATAACCTCAAAGAAAGCTGAGGCCCTGAACTGCAACACTAGAAAAGTACTACACCAAGTCAGAAGTTTTGATGTTAATGATATCTCTAATTTGTTTATTTGCTGAGTGATGAGCTAAGATAGTACAACACACCAATCAGGAGAGCCAAAATGTTTATCCAGTATGGCCTGTACAAAACACGCTATTGTGGCTTCCTTAGACCAGCCAGGCTGGAAGAGCTGAACCTACTGCAGTGCCATTGCTGAGCAGGCTATGAGCCTGAGGAATGAAATCAGTCTCTAGATGTGAGTATTGGGAAGGAGTTGCTCCCCTTAACTCAAATAATGCTGTATTAGCTGAGCATTTTTTATTTGGTAGGCCCTGAGGTTTAGTTTGGAACAGCTAGAAAAAAACAACAAGTAACATTATTTTAGGGAACCAGCTCAGAAGTGAATTAAGCTTTTAAGAAGGAAAAAATTTTCCTAGAGGCAAAGAGATTGTAATAAACCAAAAAGCTTTCAAGTCACAAAGGAGAAGGTCATTTCTCCCCCCTGAGGAAATGAACGTCATGTTTCAGGGACGGGTATTAATCTGTAGATAATACTACAGTAAGAGTTTTCTTTTTAGTAAATAAAAGACAAGAATTAATAAAAAGTATGCATATATAATTTCTTATTCAGTCTATTTTCTATTTCACATATAATTGGTTATCAGATGATTTAAGTACTTTAGGTTGAGTCAAAATCTCAAAAGCATAAAATAATTTAAATAGAAAAAGAAACAGTTTAGTGGAATGGAAGGAGCAAGGACTGTAGGGCAAAGCAAGTCTGAATTTGAATTTTAGTTCCACCAATTACGATGTGGAAAAGTTAGTGACATCTTCTCCATTTACTAGTCCAGATTATTGGGGAGATAAGTGAAATAATATGTATAAACATCTAATATATATTTCACTGTCCATTAATTAGAAAAAGTATTACAATCTGTTAGTTTTATTATATATGAGTTTAACATTTATTTTCTATTTTCCTAAATCTAAGTGGAAAGAATCCTCAAGTTAAAAAAAAACACTCAGATTGACCGAATTTTTCTTTGATTGAACTTTTAAAACAAAACTTGCACATGTTTTTGTTTTAACAGAAAATGAGATGCCATAATCCCACATTTAGTCAAAATAAACCCAATTTAAGTCAATCCCCATATCGTTTAGATTTATTGAGTGGTGGTTAATGAGAATTGTTGTTTAAAATATTGCTCTGGAAATTGTTGAAGATCTTGAAACATCCAATCTTTATTCATATAAATAAGTTTTGTGCCAAATAAAATATTGAACTAATTTTATATATCTGTACTACGTGCTGCTATGACATCGCTCCCCTGTAATCATAAACACACCTTCCCACTAGGTACACCTATGGTGGCTCTGTACAAGGAAAAGCCCAAATCCGAGTGTGCAGAGAATTACTCTCTTCTAGGAACTGTGAGGAAAACCTCAATGAAATGTGTGAGGAATTCGTCACACAGGTACAATCCGTGATCTTTGCTCATAAAAGGTTTCACTCATATTTTATCTTTATTCATTCTTTGATTACACTTACAAAAGGACTGAATAACACTATTTTCATTTTGTGAATAATGGATGTTGCAGGTAACAGGATAAAGAATGAAGACAAAATATAATGTTTAAAATAATGTTATTCATTGCTATTCATCTATAGATTTTTTTGGACTTAGCAATTTGAAAAAGATCTTATTTATATACTGCCCAAGTGGTCTCTCTGATCTTTCTTTGGAGAATCATTAATCATCCTTTAAAGAAATGAACCTATATTATTCACCATGCAACCTAGAATTTTCCTTTTAAAATCAGCTTTTTTACAAATATCTACAGTTCATGATATCTGTATTTCTATACCTGTAGTATAGTATATCTATACTTTAGACTTGCAGTCCCCCCCCCTCACCAAGGGTCAAACATGGGTTCTTGTGTGCTAGGTAAGCATGCTATCACTGACCTATTACCCTCAGCCGCTGCAGTTCAAATTTGAAGCCTCCAATTGCCTATTCCATCTCTAACATCTCAACCTTAAATGGGTAACTCTGCCCAGATATTTGAGCATTACTTTTGGACCTCCAAAATCTGCATATACAGTACTACATAGTTATATTTTCAAACTGTTTAACTTGAAGTTACCAAGTTTGCTGAATATCCTCTAAGCACATGTCAATAATTAACAAATAGGCAAAATTTTATCTTCACAAAGGAAATGAGGCTAAGACAATCTGAGTGAAAATTCTTCTGTATCAGTAACACATTATTCCATTAAGGTTAGATTATAATATAATTCATTCAAATATCTCACCTTAAGTATATATTCTCTCAGCTAATGTTTAATTTTTTCCCTATAAGATAAATATAGTAGTAAACAATCAGGAAAAACTATCTTCATATATGAGAGATTTTATTTATTTGAAATAGATTGTTTAACATGGATTTCCTAAATCAAGGGAGATATAGATATAGATAGATAGTTTTAAGAAATATTGCCATAGTTCTATTCAAAACATTTTAAATTCTTGTCAGCAAATATATGAGAATATTACATTTCCTAAGTTATTTCCAACAATGCATTTAGGAGCTTTGAATTTTTATGCCATTTTGATAGACACAAATTTAGTTACATAACCTATTTATAAGCTAGTTTTAGTATGTTTTCATATTTTTGTTTTCTATTTGGATTTGGTGTTTTAAGAACCCTTAATTATATCTTTGCCTTGGTCATGTAAGACTGAAACTTTTGTTATAAATATTACCCTCCATCCTCTAAGCAAATTTTTTTCAGTCTTTTATTTATGTAAGTCATATAATGGACTTTGAAATTCTACTATTTTTGAAATACTGTACAAAGTTTCTCAAAGTTCATGGGTTCCAAGCTAAGAAAAAAAATGTATGACCTGCCCCTATGTTGTACATGTAACTTTCTAAGTATGCTTTAAGGTCAGATTTCTCCAGGAAACATAAAATTAATTTTTTATTATTTCTAAAATAAGAAATTTTTTCTTCTAAATATTGGGCTTTGCTAGCACTATCTTGCATTATTTTGCTCTCCCTCTTTATTCTAAATCATGCTTACAAAAGGTTCATCTATTTCACTACTTTTTAAATTTTTCTTTCTTTTGTTATTTTTGTGTTCATGAATCATTTATTCTATCTTTCATCTTATTAATTCTCTTTCCTAATTTTTTGATCCATTTGTTTTTAAATATGCAATCATTGAGATTGGGCATAGAATCCAAAATACTAAATGGATGCAAATTCTGTGGATGCTCAGTCCCCTTGTATAAAATGGCATTGATTTACAGGTAATTGATGCATTTCCTTCAGGAAACTTTATCATTATATTATTTATAGTACCTAATATAATATAAATGTGGCAGAAATAGTTGTTTTACTGAGTTGTTTAAAGAATATGCAAAAGTCTGTTTCTCCTTGGCATAGATGCAATTATTTCCCAAATATCCTCTACTCATGGTTAGTGAGACCATGGTTATGCTACCATAGATACAGAGTGCCAACTGTATCTGTGGCTTTATGTAATAATAAACACATTCAATATTCTACATTTTTTTAAACCACAGCATAACATCATTTGATACAAAGAATTTTCTTTTTATCCTAACATCTAGATTTTTATTGTTTCACTAGATATTTTTCTATTTGATTTAAGGATTATTGAAAACTACTTTTTCTCTAGATTTCAAGCCTTTAATGTTGAAGTCTTTAATGTTCATTATGATTAAAGTAGAATTGTTGTTTTCTGTGCTATTGGTGTGATAGTTAACAGTTCAGAGGAGAATGCACGCTGGGACTGGAACATTCCAGGACCTTTTAGCTGTGTGACCTTGGGCAGGTTAGATAATGTACTTGCACCTCAGTTTATCCAGCCATACATTGGGCATAATAATAGTGCCTAGAATATATGATAGTTTTTAAGATCAAATAAATTGATATATCCTTTTAACATTCAAGATTTAGAAGTCGTTTTTTTTCAAATATAACTGATTCTATATTTTTCTGATTGTTCATATTACTAGTGAAAGATTACAGATTCTTTCCTTATTTTAAATAATCAATTTACTTTTTAAAGAACCTATTTTGATATTACGTAAAGAGTGCTTCTGTATGTCTTTAGTGCTCATCAAAATGGTTTTAATTTCTTGTAAAACATCACTCAACTCCATTTTCTTTAAACGTTCTTTCATCTCTGCCCATCTGCATTGTTTCCAAGAAAACTTCCTGAACATATGTAAAATATATGATATATAAAATTTAGTTATCTTGTCTGATATGCTTCTGAAATGTATTTCTTCCTCCTCCTTCCTTTCTCCTTTAATTCTTGTTTTAGTCACTTCAGCAAATTTATGAGATAGAGCCATGGCGGAGGGGTGTTACTTACCTGTGCTAAAGCCCGGTATTTTTTATTTTAAAAACTACTGGGTTCCTAACATTTCTATTGTCTCTCTTTCTTTTCAGTTGAAAAATGGCTGTGTTTCTCAAATTGTGAGTGCAAAAGTCCTCCAAATCAATCGTTCTGGACTCTCCATGACATTTCATGTCGATGTAATTGTTACAGAATCTGGGACCGGTAAGGATTGCGTTTTATGGACAACCTGGGACTACATTTCGGCTCACTGAGACCCTCCCTGAGTTGGCAATATGCACAAAGACGCATAAGTTATTGCTCAAGCATTTTTGCCAAGTGTCAACTTTGAGTATAATTTGCTTCTGAATAAAACTTTCCTAACAATATTTAAAATAAAATGGTCTCATAAATGTTACATGTTTATATCTGCTTCTGTGATTCCAGTTGAAGAAATTTTCCTTTGAAGTAGTAGAAGTGGGCTAATAAATTAGATATATCTGTTTTGCTTTGAGAAAATCAGTTGGTTAGCAATTTCCAGGATGTGGTTTTTGATTTCTCAGAGTTTACAATGTAAATTTTGAGGATCAAGTCCAGATCCCTGCTTATATCTTTATGAAGGCTTTGGAGCCCAGCCATACTCATTTGTTTATCTAGCTTAACAGCTACAAGTGTGAGTAGTTGTGTCAAAGACTTTGTGTAGTCATCCTGGAATAACCCAGATTCTTCACAGAAGAAGTATGTAACCCCTGATTTTGGACAACTGGGAACATTTACTAATCCAATACTTATTAGGAAAAATTTTACAAAATTACCTACAATAAGTTTTCAATAAATAATTATTAAAATAATGAAAAAAAGACAAATTGAGAATTAATTTGGGCCAGTTCAATTATTATTTCTTGTTACTTAAAAGGGAGTTGGGATTATAGTATTTATGCTTTATGTAAATATACTTGATTGTATTGTGATGACTTTTACAATTGGTATGTTTGTCACATTTATGCTGCTACAGTGACTTAACCTGGATATGCATTATTCTGCCTATTCACTTGTTTTGATGAAATCACAAGGAATTTCTATTTACTGTACTCTGCTACCAGATACTTTTCAATCCTGGCAAAGTCCAAATACTACAATAGTTATCTTGTAGTCTTAAAAACAAAAGCCTTTCATTTGAGATATCTATGACATTCTCCATTATAAAGTTCCCAAGCCAAAACTGAGTAGATTGGTAAGAGGAAAGAATGTAAGTTTTTCTCCTGCTTCTGAATCAAATATTTTCATATTAATATCATTACTTCATTTGAAGTACCCTCTAACTAAACAGACATAGACTGTGTTGGGACATATCTCAAAGTATACACACCTTATTCTCTATGTAGAATAAAAATATAAATGTAAAATATGTTTGAAATTAAAAATCTCTGTTTAGAAAGTTCTCCAATGTATCTTAAACTAGTCGTTCTTTTGAATTTTTTCTTGGTAGCCCAAGGAATATGAACCCACGTTCTCAGTATTACAAGGCAAATGTTTTACCACTGAGCTACATTCTCAGCCCTGAAATAATTGGACAAATAATTATCTCCTTTCTGACACTATGTTCATCACTTTTTACAGGGGTGCAAATCAGTGAAAAGGCCTCCATTGCTATCACTGAACTGCTCGGCGGTGTGCGCTTTGAAAACATGGACAATGTCTATAGAAGAGGAATTTCCTATTTTGGAACTGTAGGTTTGACCCCAAAAAAAGTTTTGCACCTGTTTAATTTTCATGGATAATAGATTACTCTTTGATAATTTCTGGACATTTTTTGCCTACGTTCATAATACATTTTTGGTATTGTTGTGTCTGATATACCAAAAAAAAAGTCTTAGCTGAAAGAAATATAGTAAAGTCTATGTTTATATATATATATATATATATATATATATACACATACATGTTCATATCTATATCTGTTTTCATATGTATATGAAATATATATATCCAATATATATTTAACAGAACATCTTTTGTTCTTTAGCATTGAAGAAAATTACTATTAAGTGGCTACAATTATGGATACAAAAATTTTCTTTGAAGAAATATGAAATGTTTGTATTTTAAGAAAACTCACACTTCTTTTTTGTGTACAGCTTAAATTTTATGGTCCCAATAACGTGCCTCTGACAAGCAAGTTGTTGCAAGTGGAGCTCAATGGCAGAGTTATAGGGAATTACACCACAGATGAGAATGGCCAAGCTCAGTTTTCCATCGACACCTCGGATATCTACGATCCTGTGTTCTTCCTGAAAGTAAGAGACTGAAGGGTAGATGGCGACTCTTGAGGATCCTCCGGAGCATGCGACTGTTAGGAATTTTTAACATTAGCAATTCTTAAAAGTTAGCATATTTTGTATGATTTGTTTGTTCATTAAGTATGAAAATATTTGTTCAAGATGAAGAGAAGCTGATAGGGTACTATAATTGGTGTAAACTCTATAATAACCGTATTTTCCTCTGAGACATGTGAAGTCAATTTGGCTTTTTTTCTGACATTATTTCCCACAGATAGGAGAGATAATTCTCTTTTCTGCTGCTTAAGCAGAATTTTGCAGTTAAAAATTTTGTTGGTACTCAAATGTAGCTGAAGGAAACAGGGGAGTTTATATCCAGTTCTCTGGCTTCAATCAAAAAGCAAAAATCACACCATTTCATTGTTAGTCTGGTGGACTGTCCAGACAGTTATAATCAGCTTTGTATGTTTAAGTGGAGAATACTATTATTATTTCACTTCCAGTTAAGACTGAAATGTCAGCCACAAGGAAGGATTCCTCCTTGCTTTGCAGAGATGGGAAGCCTTGTATTCCATGTTAGCTCGTGTCCTTGGGGGTCTTCGAGGCTCTGAGGTCTTTCCCTTTCTTTCCTCTTGTCAGGCCGAATTCCTTCATCCCCAGAGCTGCTATCTTCCTGGCTGGGTGACACCTCGGTACTCGGAGGCCTCCTTCTTAGTGTCACGCTTTTACTCCCGAACCAACAGCTTCCTGAAGATTGTGCATGAACCAAAGCAGCTGAGATGTGACCAAGAGAAGATTATAACTGTGCACTTCTCTCTAAACCAGGAAGCATACAAGGGTGACTCAAATGTAAACTTCTTCTACTTGGTGAGTCCCAGCACTCTTGGAACCCTGTCTGTGTCCGCTGAGAGTAGTACAGCTTAGTGTGCACTGTAGTTCGGTCACATCTGTCTAAGTGACCTCAAGCTTCTCACCTTGCTGGTGATTGGATCCATCAATAACAAGTAAATAGACAAACACATAACAAGACCTCAAGCAAATGAACTTCCCGTAAGACTGGAAAATCTTGATAGTCTGCCTTTTTAAGCAGTTGTAACTCATCTCAAGTATTTAAGAACTTTTATGATGGAAAAATTTTAGTCAGAGGCTAGAAAATAAAACGGAGGGCTCACTTTGGTAAGTAGTAAAAGGAATTAGCTCTCTTGGTTCTGTCCACTTTGTCTCATCAAAGCACACAGAAAAATGGGAAACACAGACTTGGAAATTAAGACCTGGTTCGAATCATCCCTCTGGTTCACCATGCAAATTAGTCCATCTTGTTTAAACTCTCTTAAACCTTTTCCTTCTCTGCCATATGTTTGTAATTGGAAATAATGAGATTTTGTCTCCTAGGTTGAGCAGTGTGTGGCAGGCATTGTTAAAGAGCCTTGTGTGTGTTCATTGATTTAATCAGATTTATGGCTATCTCATTTCGTACATGTCCCATTATACAGAATTTACAGATAGCTTTTTGGATATCCCATTTTTACAGAGGCAAAAGTGGAACAACAGGTCTTAAATCACAAAGCTGATAAGTAGATGGAGGCATAGAGGAAGCCAAATGTTCTGGACAATTGCTAGTACCTTGCCCTGTTCATCTCACCCTGTTACGTGAGAGAATCCCAGTCCTACTGTGGTCACTTTCTTTTTCCTTTTACAAGTTGTACAAAGTTCACTTTCACTAAGCATTTTAGGAAGCGATCTTATGGAACAGAATTAACATCAGAGAATTCATTATATAATGACAATGTGACGCTGTTAAATCATGTATCTCACACAGTTTTCCTTGTCTTGTATAGATGATGGTGAAAGGAGCTATCATCCTCAGTGGACAAAAGGAAATCAAAAGCAAAGGTGTATATAATACATTTGGTAATAAATATATACTTTATATTCATGATTTTTTCTTTTTAAGGATATATAAAATACAGACATTAGAGCACTTATTTCAATTTGTGAGTGGGGACAGCAGTTAACATGGCTTGAAAGAAGGTACTGAATTTTTTTTTTTCTTTTTGGTACCAGGGATCAAACTCACGTCCTTGTGCTTGCGAGGCAGGCAGCAGAACCACTGAGCTACATCCCTGGCCCAAAATATTTTGATAAAGAAGATTTCTACCTCTTTCTATTATTGTTAGGTCACCAAGTACATTATAGAAAAATGATGTCTAAAACCCTTTATTGTTATGTAAATCATGAAACCTTTATTTGTATATGCAGTACTCACTATTTATTTGCCTTTAAAACAAAGTACAATTTATTCTTTCTGTCCCCAAGCCAGTCGCATTTGTCTAAGTGTACCCAGTGACCCACGACCTTGTTGATACTGTGTCTGTTGATCTATTTACACAGCCTGGAATGGAAACTTCTCATTGTCAATCAACATCAGTGCTGACCTGGCTCCTGCAGCTGTCTTGTTCGTCTATACCGTTCACCCCAGTGGGGAAATTGTCGCTGACAGCGTCCAATTCCAGATTGACCAGTGTTTTAAAAACAAGGTGATGTTTCTTCCACTTCTGCCCTGTCCGGGTGGAGAAGGGTGAGCAGGTTTCTCCCTGCTGTCTCCTTCTTATGTTATCACTGTAATTAATCATGACGTGGAAATCTCACAAGAAACTCTGCTGTGATTAAATTACTCGGGGCAAAAGATCATCAGGTAGGCCGAAGTGTCCTCGGCATTTGTGCAGACCCTGAGACAACAGCGGGGTATTGAAGAGAGGCTCCCGCTGGAAAAGCTGAGCTATGAAATTAGTAACAACACTAAATAATCACAAATCATGACATAATTATATATTTTGCCATTACAATGCTAAAATATATTTCAACTTCCAAAATTATTTAGAAGCTCCTTGAATAATCTAAAAATTATTTAAGATTATTTATAAGTAAATCTAAGAAGCTTCTAAATAATTTCAAAATCTGAAGAAACATCAACAAATAAAGGAGACATTTACCTACAAACGTGAGAGTGCAGGAGAAATATACAGCAATCTATCAGGATTTACTTGGAAAAGATTGGATTTATTCTGATTACTCTCATGTAAAATTGTTTCTACCTTCACTCCTCTTCCTCTCTGCTCCAGGTTAGCGTACAGTTCTGTAATGAGCAGGGGCTGCCTGGCTCCAACACAACTCTGTATCTTCAAGCCGCCCCTGGCTCGCTGTGTGCCCTCTGGGCTGTGGATCAAAGTGCCCTTCTCCTGAAAGTGGAGCAGCAGCTAACAGCGGAAAGCGTAGGCCTGCCATTCCCTCCTTTCTACCTACCTCCAAGTCTTTCCCTTCTCATGCTGCCTTTGCTTGAGATATAATGTATGGGAAATATCAACTGTTGCCTTCCTTTATTCTTTCGTGAGTTATGTACTTAATTATCTGTCTTGGCTCACCCAGCACTGATAATACAGAATTTCTGTAGATAATTGAAACAGGTTAAAAATTTTGCAGTATGATTTTTTTTTTAAAAAATCGTAAGGCATAATTATAGATACAGAGGCCTAGAGTTAAAATGAAATCTCCATGTTGGAAGATGTGCTTGGAGACAGTCTAAAGCTATTATTTGATATTTGAAATAAAATTTTCTTAAACATTTCCAGGGATAGGGTCTTGGTCAATGATCGAGCACTTACCTAGCATGTATGAAGCCCTAGGTTGGATCTCTAAAACCAACACATAAATAAATCAATAAATATCCAGACTGGCAACACGAGAAGTTCACATCAAAAATATTTTTAGTTCATAATTGTTAGACATTTTCCCTTTATTTTATACAAATGCACATTAAAAACTTGATCTTTCTGATATTTGTATATATAATTCAGAAATTTAAATTTTACTGTTACAGAACACATGCAAAATACACAAAGGCATAAGTAAATTGTTAAAATCACTCATAATCTAACACATTTTTGCATTTTGTTGCAATTTTTAAAACCTCTTTTCTAAAAGCAATCTTTTACAAACTTAAGATCTGATTTTAAAAGTTCGGTTTTGTATTCAATATTTTACCTTAAGCATTAAGTGTCAAGCTTTTTTAAATTAATTAACAATGTTAATTGTTATTAAATTAATAACAGTATTCAATAAGTTATGACATAATGATAATATTTTAAATAGTATCTAATGAATTATGAGATAATTATGACATAATTATATTTTGGCAATGCAACATAATAATACATCTCAATTTCTGAAATTATTTAAAAGCTTCCTAATTAATCTAAAAATTATTTATTTAGATTATTTATAAATAAATCAGAATCTTCTAGAGAGTTTAGGAATCTGAAGAAGTATAAACTAATAAAGGACAAATTTACCTATTAATATGGCATAAATTTTTTTTTGAGAATTCTTTCATTTTCTGTTTCTCTTCTATACTTTTTTTAAAACATGTAGTCCAGGCCAGCCTTGAATTCACTGTGTAGCCCAGGGTGGCCTAGAACTTGAGATCCTCTTTTATCAGCCTTCATTCCTGGTATTGCAAGCATGCACCACCACACCCAGCTTCTCTATGCTGCTTTTAAAGAGTCCTTTCAACTGGGTGACGCACACCTGTGACCAGCACTCAGGAGATGGAGGCAGGAGTTTGAAGCCAGCCTGGGCTGTATAGTGAGTTCAAGAAAAATAAAATTTTCTGTCAATGATTTTCTCTTGAGCTCTTTATACTTTGTAATTCACGTCTGATGTTTTTGTCTATTTCATCTATCTCTGAGTTCAATAAATTCTCATTTTATTTCATTTTTATGTGCCTATTTTTATTCTTCCTTTATTAAATTTTTAATTCTTGGTTCATCTAGGCAAATAGATCCCCAGGCCCTAGGGTGCTTTTTAAATATCCCAAATGCATGTTTGGAAACATTTCATTTCTGCTGAGATGTTTGAGAATGGCTTTTATTCCTATTTGCTTAGCTAATTACTTTGGTAGAGAAAATTCATCAGCAGAAGTGTTTTGATTCACATTTTCTGTGTTCTTTTGTGGCAGCTTTGTGTGGAGTTGTTCTTGTGTGAATAAGTGAAGAGTGTCCTTTTCGTGTTATTTTGATAAAAAAAAGTTTTTAATGACAAATGTTGGTAATGCCAATAAGAGTGACATACAGCAGCGACCACCGCAGCCCTCTTTCTGTCCCTTATATCCTATCCAAGCTGCCCACCCTTAGGGCGGGTGGCACTCACACCCGGGGTAAGAGAGCCTTAATCCTAGCATTGCACCACAAATCAATCCCAACATCACATCCTTTTTTTTTTTTCTTTTGTGCTGGGGATTGAACTCAGGACCTTGCGCTTGCGAGGCAAGCACTGGAACCACTGAGCTAAATCCCCAGCCCTACATCACATCCTTAATCCCAGCATCCAGCCACCTCTGAAAAGCCCCATCTATGACCACATGTGGCTTTCAGGGGACATCTAGACAAAAGCCATAACAACTGCCTAACATAAAATTAGTTTTCTCTTTTGAAAAAGTCAAATAAAATTATTGAATTACAGTATGATTTCCATTCTCTTATAGAAAAGAATAAAAATGAACCACTATGATGCAAAATTTTCTAATTCTGTATTTTTTTAAAGTGTTTATAATTTCTGAAGACCATGTGTTTTCTCTCCTAGGTGTACAACATGCTTCCACATAGAGAACCATTTGGTTATTTCTATAGTGGTCTCAACCTGGATGATGGTAGGGCAGAGCCCTGCATTCCCCAGAAGAACATGTTTTACAATGGTTTGTATTATTCTCCTGTACCCATCTCTGAAGATGGGGACACCTATGAGATTCTCAAGGTAAGATCACTAAAGATATTTTAAAATATCCTATGTCAATTTTAATTTTAGTATTCATAATGTGTATCTGTATTTCATTAATTATGTAGTTTTCTTCTGATTTGCTAATAGAGTACTCAAAATTGTCTTATGAAAAGGAAATATTAACTTTTCTATTGAAAAAAATAAATTGTGTGGCTAAAATTATAAAACCTCAGGTTAGAATTATTGAGACAGTCTGCAAGTTATTGCAATGAATCTTACACAGAAAGAGTCAAATTAAGAGGCTGGACAACAGTGCCAATTTTGTAAATATTTCCCCTTAAAATTGAATGGAGAATTATGCAAAATACTTAAAAGAATAATAGCACATGATAATACTGATTATCATTTTTATTTTAAATTTGAGATTTTCCATAAATCAAATAGAGGTGACTTGCTTTTGACACTAGAGCCTCCTTGTTAGCACAGCAAATATGTAGATGTATTATTTATTATTTACAGCATCAAAGAACTTTTACAATTCTTGCATGAAAGGAAAGCACAACGTTTTCTTTGTTTCTTTGAAAGCGCATGGGTCTGAAAGTCTTTACCAATCTCCATTACCGAAAACCAGAACTGTGTATGATGGATGGAAATGGTCCATACGTGAAGCCGCTGTTCCTAGGAAGAGAAGGAATTTTGCCCGATGACTCATCTTCAGCAGCATGTGGGTAATCCAGAGTTTCCTGCTGAGGGGACAGTCAAACGAGTTCTTAGAACTGGGGGAATTTGGATGAAACCATACAAAACTGGAATTCTGACATGTTTTGGGTTTCAACTGAACATCCTACAGTTCAATAAGTCATAATAAAACAAGCTGGAAATGGCTTTGACCATAAAGAAGAATTGGATTCAACTATAAAGGGAAGTTTATCAGTAAAGCACAATAACAAAAGCTTATTTGTAGCCACATAAAATGTGTGGGGATGTGGAAGAATAGTTACTGTGATTGACAGAAGACAGTGAGTTTCTGTATGGCTCCCTAAGTCCTTATTATGTAGACACCAAAATGCAGAGAGTCAAAGGCAGAGGCCATTTTGACATGCTGATACTCAGACAGCTCCCATGAGAAATGTGTCCCAATACTAGTCCCTTTTCAAGACTAGCCATACTGCTAGAAAAATAATGTAGGTATGCAGATTTTGTATAGAGAAATACAGTCAGGGAAGCCAGATGGAGCCAGCTCATCAAAACAGACCCGAAATGAAAGCTGTATTCCCAATGCCTCAGAGAGAACTTGAGTAACAGCGCTTAGACCCCTCTGGCCTCTCACCGAGACTCATCCTGGGATGGAAGTAGGTTTGTCCTGGAGATGAGTGTCAGGAGTTCCACTTGAAAAACACAAGGCCCCGACGACTTGTAAAAAGGATGGATTTGGGGAGTGTTCAGGAAGGAGGCCCTGCAAAGTCCAGACCTGGTCAAGAGAATACAGCTACTTACTGTCACTACTAGATTAAGCCCTATTTAGTGAGTTTTATCAGGAGCATCTAACCTTTCTTACACCTCTGGATAAAATGTACTAGAACCCTAAGTCCTTCATTTTATCTCTTCTTTCTTCAGTCCTTCATTTATTAATTCACTCAGCAAATATCTATTGAGACCAGGAACTGAGTTGCATGATGTAAATACAGTCATGAGATAATTCCCAAAACAGGGGAATAGTGCCTTGTTAGATTTATACGTACACACCCCCTCCCCATGTGCTCAGAGGGGGGGAATTTGAAGGGTAATTAAATCACCGTAGTGCTGTAACTAAGTACGCTATTAAGAAGTGGCAGGTCACCGAGAGAGCGCGTGACCTGGCAGGGTGTGCCTCCCATTTTGTTCTTCCCTTCACTCTGCTTCCAGGCTGCCTGCGGTGAGCAGCATTCCTCCACCCAGGCCTCCCTGCCTTGGAGCCAGCCAGCCATGGACTACAAGTGTTAGGCAAAATAAACCTCTCCTCTTTAAGTTTAGAGTGTCCAGCATTTTGTCTCGGTGAGGAGGAAAGCGACTTAGATATGCATTCAATTTTAAAATGTATATATGAAATAGAAGAGACTTAGTTCCTTGAGGGCCTATTTTGTGCTCCTGGAGGAAGTAACACTTGTATTGAGGCCAAAAGGTATCACAAAAGAGAAAGACATTCCAATCAAAGAAGGAACAGCTACGAAAGACAAGGGAAGAAACCACAAGCTCTTCAAATGGAGGAGAGGTAGCTCAAGGTGAGCTAAAGCAAGAGACACATACAGACAGGTCAGAAGAGCCTTACGTGGCATTTAAAGAGTTGGAATTCATCCTATCATTGTTGTTGTTGTTTTTGTTATTATTATTATTATTATTATTATTATTATTATTATATACTACTGACAGTCCATAAGCAGATGATCAGGTATGGGTCTTTTAACAGCATCTCTGTTGCTCTGTGAGAAGGGCTTAGGCCAGGCTGCTTGAGAATGCAGGAAATGGCACAGATGTTAGGAATTCCTTGGAGCAATAATGATGCTGGACAACTATCAAAAGGCAGTAGAAACAGAAATGCGGGTAGATCTGTGAGCTGTTGTCAGGTTGAATAGATGACATTTGTAGCTTGATGAGTTGTAGGACATACAGGACAGGAAGGGGTGAGGCAGTGCTTGAGCTTCTGACCCAGGTAAGCGGTTAGGTTTTGTACCCTTCACAGAGGGGAGAGGTTCTAGAAGCAGGGAGAGCACAGAAGGCGTTCATGTAGGGAACGGTTGCATTTGCAGTCCCTGTGAAGCACCCACAAGAAGTGCATGCCAAGCAGTCTGGCATTCAAGAGATAGGGCCAGGCAGAAGATGGACAGAGGAGGCGTCGGGGTAACTATTCTAATTGAAGCTGGGGGCGGGGGGGGGGGATCAATGGGGAGATGGTGTGCAGAAGAGGAGGATTTAAAACAGCTGTTAGCTATCACGAAGGGTGTACATCCTCGAAAGAGAGAAGAAAACCAGAAGGGTGTGGTGTTTTGCAACTTGAGAATAGTGACTGTTGAAAAAGACACAGTGACAAAGTGTGTCAAATGCAGAAAATTTGAAATACCAGTGTCATTTAAAACATGAGCGGCAGCAATGCTAGCTAGCAGAATTTTCAGACGTCAGTGCATTGGATGAGAAACTGCAGTGAGCAGGCTAGCTGTGGAGGGAAACCGCAGGCTGATTATTCGTCATTTTGGTTTGTCCATTGTTGCTTTTCATAACAGCAGAGCCTTGAGCTGCAAAACACTGATACCAAGAGTGAGATTTGCATTTTCCAGCATTTGAGCCCCGGGAAGAGATTCCCATTTTGCTTTTACTGACAGAGGCTGGACGTGCATTGCAAAACACTTAATTTACAGGCGCACATCATTTAGACACGTATTTCTCTTCTCCGTAAATTTCTCTTTTCTTTTAGATTTTAACGTGAGAGAAAACGCCAACCATGTACAACAGGCTATGATAGAAACAGTAAGGACAAACTTCCCCGAGACGTGGATATGGGACCTCTTCAGGGTCGAGTGAGTTATTTTAGTTATTTCCTTCCCTATGCGTCTTTATTTCTATTTTCTTTGTGACTTATGAACTTCTATTCCTGGGCATATTTGTAAAACATAGAATAAAATTTGTTTATACATACTGGTCATGTTTTATTTTTTTTTCTCTACTTGTTGTTGTTCTTCTTCTTTTTTTTTTTTTTTTTTTTTTTTTTTTTTGGTACCGGGGATTGAACTCGGGTCCTTGAGCTTGCGCAGCAGGCGGCAAAAACACTGAGCTAAATCTCCAGCCCTTCTTCATTTTTTTAACCAGAGGTTTCTTGGCAATAAAGTTCACGCAGCTCCGTGTAAACTGCCTCCGATTTAAAAATGAAAAGGGTGTTTAAAGAAATGTGACTTTTCTAAAGTTAAATTTTATAGAAATTCAGCTCTCAAGATTTTTATCTAATGCCCTGTCCAAACAGTATAACTCATTTTTAAACTTAGCTAGTAGATTTTTCTTGCTCTGCACTAAATTCGTGTTCTTCATTTAGGCACAGAACGCGTTTTATTAACAGCCTCTCCTTACAGCTCCTCAGGTGCAGCAAATCTTTCTTTTGTCGTCCCCGACACCACGACCAAATGGGAGGCCAGTGCCTTCTGCGTGAACGGCGAGGCTGGGTTTGGCATTTCTCCCGCAGCCTCCCTGCAAGTCTCCCAGGCTTTCTTTGTTGAAATCGGGTCACCCTTCTCAGTTGTTCGCAATGAGCACTATGACTTGATTGTCAGCGTCTTCAGCTACCTGGACACCTGTGCGGAGGTAAATTGCTCCCTTTGATCTGGAGACAAAACTCTGACAAAGCTAAAAAGGTTCCTCATATTTTCCTTGACTATTTGCTTCATTCTTAAAACGATACCATAAGGAGATGGCTTCATTTCCACATTCCTCAAACAATAGCAGTTGCATTAGTTCACAGCACTGATTTGAGCGTCGCTTTGAGAATGACATTTCATAATGAGGCACATTCCACCATGTTTAGCTTCTTGTACAAGGAGTGATTAGATATCTTTTTCTTCAGTTTTGTTTTTTTACTAGTACATATTTGCATGACATAACGCTTACATTCTTTTGCACAGTTGGTGTATGTACATAACAAATCTTAATTTTGGGGGGGCCAGGTATTTAGTTCAGTGGTTTCATCCCCTGCTATGCAAGCAAAAGAACCCGAGTTCGATCCCTGGTACCAAAAAACAAAACAAATCTTAATTCTTTTTTATCCCCTTTACCTCCTCACCTGCTCCTATTTCTTGATCCTCTTTTGGGGGGGGCGTGTTGTTACAGGAATCGAACTCAGGACCTTGCGCTTGCAAGGCAGGCACAGAACCACTGAGCTACATCCCCGGCCCCTTGATCAAGTATTGAACAAAATCTATTTCTTAATTCCTATCATCTACATTTTTCTTTTCTCTTTATTTATATTTTGTGTTTCTCATATGAGAAACCTTGCAGTATTTAAGCTTGTGTGTCTGATTTATTTCTCTTAACATTAGGGTCTCAAGGTGGATTTATTTTCCTACAAATGATTCAAGTTTATCCTTCATTATGGCAGAGTAGTGCTCCACTGTGCATAAACACCACATTTTCTTTATCCACTCATTTGTTGATGGACATATGGGCCACTTCCAAGATTTAGCGATTATGAATTGTGCTGCTATAAACATGACTATGCATGTATCATTCTAATGTGATGTGTTTAACTCTTTCAGAAAGATACCTACAAAAAGAAATGGAATTTCTAGTTAATTTTGCAAACTTAAAATATAACAGATAAGGCATAATTTCCTGAAGATGAGAGATGGAATGGTAATATAAAAGTATTTACAGGGCTGCCCTCATTACCGTGACTCTTTTTATAGATATCTGTTCAATTAGAAACATCCCAGAAATATGAAGCTAATATTAACACCCTGAAAAGCAATGACAGCAAGATTATCCAGGCTGGAGAGAAGAAAACATATGTCTGGACTCTTAAACCTAAAAACCTGGGTAAGGGCTTTTGTGTCTATGCTAATTTCTCATAGAAAATCAGACTTTTAAATCTCTATTTTACTTAAATTTGCTAAATAAACCTAATTTTATTCCTCATATTTTTAGTCCTTTTTAAATTATTCTCTATTTTTAAAACTTGCTTCTTAAAATCCAATGTCTGGTTGCTAATGTTGTGTAAAGTAAAATCATAATTCATTTGCAAAAAACATAATATGACTAGAACACAATAAAAATGCTAATTTGCATGGCCTATGAAGTCCACACATCATATCTCAAATGAAGACCATATTTTTCTTAATGCTACCTTAATTCTTTCACTGCTCACTTATTTCTTCACCCACCATTTATACAAAATGCCACTTATACAAAAATTGCTTCACAGTCACAATGATCAATTATGGGAATTGCTGGAACATGGAAATTTCCTAACTATATCAGAGAACACGAAAAACACAGAACAATTAGATCAAACTCTTAGAAGAATATTGCCTCTGTGTGTGTATTATCTACAATATAGAAAAGTAAATTTAGATCATGCATGGTGGGACACCATACCTGTAGTACCAGGTACCAGGGAGACTGAAGTAGGTGTAAGTCAAGTTTGAGACCAGCCTGGGCTACATAAGACCTGTCTGAAAAAGTAAAACTAGAACAGAGAATAGAATAAATAGAATTTTGGAATTATCTTGCTGAAGATACAGTGAAAAGAAAAAGCTGAACAAGGAATGCTAACTGTAATATACATGATACTCATTGGGAATAATTTTGAAAATTGGATCATTAAAATTTATTTCATGTCTCATATACACTGTAATATTTTAGCAACAGATAATATATATATGATCATTTTAATTCACCTGTGATATTGATCTGCCTCCTATTGTTTTTCCTATTAGGTTTATACTTTCTTAACTTTTATCCTATGTAATAATTTCAGAAATGTTATCCTAGACATTGAGACAGAATACTGTAAAACTTGCCTTTTGTTTATTTTCTTTTTGCATTTGGAGGATGCAGTTCTAACTGTAGAGTATCAAAGACTTTCCAAAACAGAGAAACAATGAACAAAACACACTAACAAAACCAATAATATCTCTGGCTATATATATAAGCACATAGGTAATATTACCTTACAAGTAATTTTTCCAATCCTCTATTTTTTATAAATAAGGAAAATGGAAATCAGTATTTCTTACATAAATAATGTGATAACACAGGAAATTAAAACACACTAGATTGCTTGCTAGTCCTTGATTTCAATCCAATCTTTTTCTGCTGAATCATATTATACTACCTGTGCTTGTTTGATCTTGGGAAATATTAGGGGCCCCAGGTATCCAATGTTACAGGCTAATAAAATCATATGTTATCTTTATAAACAGTATTAAATAACTCCCTCAGATTAATTTGTAAAATGTTAGTTTTCTTTAAATTTCTTAAGCTCTGATTAAATAAATGTAATGATAAAAAACAAGTAAATAATAAAAATAAGTGATTCCTTAATATGAGGAATCTTGAAATGAGTAAAACAAAACATCCTAAATTATCTTCACTCAGGAGAAGAAACAAATAATTTAATCTAAAGCATTAATATTTTCATAGAATTTGGTTCATGCAATTCAAAATAAGATGCACGGGCTTTTTAAATCATTTCCCACTATACAAAGGCCAATGGTGACTTCAACTTATGTTTGGGAGTATTTTCCAGGCAAAATGAATATCACTGTAGTGGCCGAGTCCAGACAAAGCAGTGCCTGCCTAAATAAAGCAACTGAACAGCAAAATCTAAACCGGAAAGATGTCGTTGTCAGAAGCGTATTGGTGGAGGTGCGTACATGCAAAACCATCCTGCTTTTCCCGATATGAAACCGGCAGCATCTAAGGTGTTTAATATGGAAGCCTATTGTTGAAGAGACTTGATTAATTTCTCTATCTTACTTTGACAAGAAATGTGTCACTTTAAATGAATCGAAGCGGCATTAATCTCATCCTTTCTTTAATACTTCACTCTAGAGAGTAAAACTTTCTTGACATGGGCTGGATGAATATTTTCACTGAGGACACTCGGTGCTTCCTGGATATCTATTCCTCTTCTTTCTTAAGTGAGCTTCAAATGCAAAGACAAATCCACTTGTCCTATGCTCCTGCTGCGCTCCCATCGTCCTTCGCAGGACTCAGCGCTTGGCAGGGCTCAATCTTGCCTCTGCTGTTGGCGGGTCCCTACTCCACAGGACACTTTCCTTTGTCTGCTGAAGATGCTAGACAGGTGCAGAGACACTGAGAGTCTTACTCATTGTCCAACCTAAGGCGCTGGGAATGTGTAGTGATCTCTAGATGCGAACAGAGGGGACAATGACCAACCTGGCCAGCCTCGCTATGGGGCCTGATGATTGACGGCTTGAAGTAGAGAGCTGATCCAGACTCCTGTTTCATTATTTATTGCTTGTTTTTTTTTACTTACTCTTTGACAGCCTGAAGGCATTGAAAATGAAATGACCCAGAGTTTTCTTATTTGTACAAAAGGTAAGAAGATTTTTTTTAAATAAAAAATTTTATCAACTAGATTAGTTTATTTCCTATCCCTATACATTAGTCCACTTGCCATAAGATTTCATTTTAAATTCCTCTTAGATTACTTTATCTCATGTCCGATCTTCATTGTATAATTTTAGCAAATAAAAAAAAAAATGACAGCCGGGGATTTAGCTCAGTGGTTCCACAGCCTGCCTTGCAAGCGCAAGGTCCCAAGTTTGATCCCCAGTACCAAAAAAAAAAAAAGGCCTAAGAATTATTTTTAAAACCTATGGCATTATTCTGCCTCAATCTACTTTTCTCATCTTGTATATTTTATCATATAACCACCACACAATGTTGGTCAATGAGAAATCAGGATTATGTCGCAATATTACAGAACATAATCTTTGCTTTGGTGCTTTTAGGATTAAGTAATCCATAGACCCTCACTCATCTGTGTTACATCCATTGGAAGTACTATTTCACCTCGTTAATTGTGATTTGACTTTAACGCTTTGTCAGAATCTGTAAGCTTTGCCCTTTGTGTATGTGTTTTTATATGTCATGTAGTTTTTATATTACATGTCAGTAGTTTTTATATTTTTACATTTTTCCATGCATAAATATTTTAGGCACTAAATTAGTGGAGAATGGAAGCCCAGATTTATAGACCATTTTCTGAGTGTATTGTTATTCAAAACTTGAATTAGTCCTCAATTTTATTTCATCTAACAAGCAATTTGTAGAATAAAAATAGACAATGGAATCTGTTCCTTAGTATGTTTGTTCCTGAAATCCGCTGCGATTGCTTATAAAAAAGGAAGTCTTCACGTTATTTTTAATGGTACTTTTCTTTTCAGGAACCAAAGCCTCCAAGCAGATAGTGTTAGAGTTGCCAAATGATATAGTAGAAGGATCAGCCAGAGCCTTTTTAATTGTCGTGGGTAAGTTGATTAAACTTTGTCTCATACTGATGTAAAAGTCTTGATTGAGGTGATCTCAGAAAATTTCTAAAATAACAGAGATTTCCTTAAGCTATCAATTGGAGGGAGTCACTGTTCAGATCATACTCTATGCTTGTTTCCACAAAAGATCAGAAGGGATCATGCCACCATTTCCAAATCTCTGCACCTACAAAACACCTGTTAGATGATAACTGGTGTTCAGAAAACAAAAGATTGTATTATAATCCTTAATCTGAAATATTAGATTCACTGCTCAGGAATCAGAACAAACTATGCATGTTAAAGATACTGGGATTTTCCTCTAAGGGGAGAGATATTTTCTAAAAGATATATTTTCTTATCATTAGCACCTTTCATTAACACCTTCTTATCATTAACACCTTTTGGAGTGAGAGATGGATTGAAGTTTGTATTTCATAGGGCCAGATTCTCCAAAACCAAACAAGCAAACAAATGCATTTTCCTAGCTTCCTGTGCTGTCTGGTAATGAGATTTTTAGAAATATTTTTTTCATAGCAAGAACCCCTTTAATTTATCCCTTGTGGCTGTCTCCCTTTACAATACTTTATGAAACTTTTCCTTGTTTTCACCTTTTAGACTCAGTGTGAATGTTTCTTATTTACACCATACCTCTCTAATATATGGTTATTAATGTCAAGATGACAACCGTAAGCGACATGACTCTGCTTTTCCTATTTTAGGGGATATCCTAGGAGTTGCAACGCAGAATCTGGAGAATCTTCTCCAAATGCCCTATGGATGGGGAGAGCAGAATATTGCCCTTCTTGCTTCAAATACCTATGTCCTTGATTACCTGAGCTCTACTAAACAATTGACAGAGGAAGTTAAATCTAAGGCATTCTTTCTCTTGTCTAATGGTGAGATAATTTAAGTAGTTTCTGCCCATAATAGGTGAAATACACATTTACTATTATTAAGATGTAATAAAGCTGTTTTTATGCAGTAGTCTGATAAAGCAAAAGTGGACCTGAAGATCAGTACCATTGAGTCTTAGCTGTTTTATTTTTTACATCAAAATTTGTATGGTCATTTAGCTTTATAATTTAGAATTGTAATGTTTCAAATTATGAACTCAGTGATTTCTTAATGCCTAATATTTTTCCAAGCTGCATTGATTATTGTTATTGTTAGTAGTTGTTATGAATGATTCATTTATTCTGGGTACATTCACTTATTTGTGTTCTATTACAATGAAGTGATCTGACTTGAATATAGAAAGAGGGTCTATGAACTGTAAAATGTGATATCAAAGACAAGTCCAGGGATAAACATCTTCAGTTCTTCTTTTCAGAAGGGTAGAACTGAATGAAATAAAAAGATCTTAAAGCAAAAGTATTAATTAATAAGTACCAATGATAAGCCAGTTTGTAAGCTAAGCGTATTTGTGTGTTGTCATCAAAATCTTATAAAGTAGGAGTTATTTTTTTCTCCATTAGATATAGAGAACATGAGCATCAGAAATTAAAATTGAAATAATCATCCTAGAAATTTTCTTATGTCTAACCGCAAAACTGAGAACTTGTACTACACTGGTTTTGGTTTTTTTTCCTTGCTTAGGTTAAAAAGTAATTCCCTACTGTGTTGTATTTTAGGTTATCAAAAGCAGTTGTCTTTCAAAAATTTTGATGGTTCATATAGTGTGTTTTGGCAGAAAAATAAGAAAGGAGACATATGGTGAGAGATTAAAATTTTATTTTCAATAATACAGATATCATTGGAGGAGGGCTTACAAGAAGGAGGGTTCAGTCCAGTGGACATTTTCCAACAAACTGAGTTTCAAAGGGAACTTCCAGAGAAGAATTAGATAAAACCAGAAGATTCTATTATTCTAATTCTGCAGCAGTCTACCTAGAGTCTCACGCAGTTTGCTTAGCTGTCTGGTCACTTCAAGGTAGCTCCCTATAGCTGTAGCTGGTTAACTTCAAAGGAAATGGCACACCTTACTCTATGCTTCTCGTGGAGCTGTATTGATTCAGGAAAATTAAACTACAAGGCCCCGAAGTATCTGATTATGACACATCAGTCTCCATGTATGCCTAATTTAATGGAGCATAGAGAAAGACCTTTGGATGTCAACAGCCTCAAAATTAGGTATTCTAATTTCTATAGATACCTATTCAAAATAGTTCACTGACTCCTAAGAGCCACTATTGACCAAGATTTGCTACAGACAGCATTGGACAAGTTGAATGAATCCATTACACAAAGGGGGCAGTAGGCATGAAGCTGAAAAGTGGCTGACATCATCACTTTTATTTTATCTTACTTTTGCTTTGATGACCTGCCCTACAGGTTCAGCGTCCTTACTTATAAGACATTTGAGAGAATAAAGGAGTATGTGTTCATTGACAAAACAGTTCAATCACAGACCTTAATCTGGCTTTTAAGCAAACAGAAAGCGAATGGCTGCTTTGAAACCGATGACAAGTTTTCCAACAATGCTTGGGAGGTGAGAAATAGAATGAGGCTTTTTTTATTCCTCCATGTGCCTCCCTTACCTCACCTCTTGCTGACCACACCTGGAACGTGATTGTTTTTCATGGGAATCTTGTGCCTTCTGAGTCTGTGGTGTCCTGGTCGACAGCAACATTCCTGCTGTGTGTATATTTAATCACAGCCTGGTTATAACTGCTCATAAATCTTTGGTCTGTCTTACTCAGTCTTCAATCCTTACATAGAGTCACTCCTCTGTAGTAAGTAAAGTGGAAAATAGGAGAGAAAAGAAAGCCTAGAGAAAGTGCATCCATAAATTTGGAAGCAGACAATGCTATACTAAAGCAGAAGGTCTTGAGTACATGAGGAATGTAAATTCATTCCTAGTCATGGATAGCAAGAAAGTTTCGGGGAGACTACTTGGTAGTTTACGTTGTTCAGAGAAGCAAGCTCCTCCGATATCCTCTCCCAGAAACCACCCTGGCCAAGCCTGCCCTGGGCCACAGTGCACATGAGGTGAAGTATGTTTTTGGCAGGATTTACCCCTTTGCTTTTCTTGTCTATATTTGGGTAAGTCACTAAACATTTTCCTTCCTTCTCATTTTCTTTCTTTGAGGATCAAAGGCCGTTGTCCATCTCCATTCTATCTCTTTTATTCCCCTAACTCTGTTGGGGATATTCCAAAAGCTGCAAATGCTCAAAACCCCTTCTCGTGATACCTTAGCATCTCCTGAGACCCCTGGAAATATCCTGGGCTTTGTTTTTTTCTATGTTCTTCATAATCACCCCGCCTACTCCTGGACTGCAGACTGTAAATCTAATCCACTTCACAACATGGATGAATTTTCAAGCCACATCATTTATAAACTTTTCTAGTTTTGTATTGTAATAATCTTTCAGAACTGAATACTGCAACTTTCCAGAGTACTTGTACAGGGAATTTTTCAGGAGGTTTCTAACCACTTTGTTTCACCGCAACAGAAACTCTTTCCTTTTTTCAAATTAACATTAAATACAGTTAGAGTTGTATGAATTACTTGGAATACCTACCTAATACCAAAACACATAAATATTAATATGCCATTTAAAATATTTAAAATTTTGTGCCTTAAATATGGATTTTAATGGATTCTTGCCCAAGTAGTATTGCTATTAATTATCTAATTTTAAAATAACACATATTTGGGGTGAGGTGTAGCTCAGTGGTAGAGTACTTGACTAGCTTTTGTGAATACATGGGTTCTATATCTAGCACCACAAAAAAGAGAGAGAATAACACAAGGTCAGGTGAACAAGGGTCTTTGTTCCATTATTTCCTTCCTGCTTAGTTTCCTTTCAGAAGAACATCCTTTCTTTTGTGCTCTGCATACAATCTGACTCCTGGGTCCTTTGTTCTTAGGGTGGAGAGGAAGAGGAAATCGCACTCACCGCATCTATCGTTGTGATGTTCCTTGAAGCTGGGCTTAACTCCACCGTATGGATTCCCATCATCATTTGGCTTCAGTCAACTAAATGCACATTAAATAGACTACATTCTGAGTGATTTGAAATTCTTAGCCTGGATGATCCATCAAGAGAACATTTCATTCATTACCACTTTTAAATTGATGCTGTTTAAACTTTCATTCATAAATTTCTTTGATGAGCATTAGTAGGGTTTTCCCTAGGTGAAATATATTTACTGCACACACTCATGTTTTTCATATAATTTCAGCTATTCATGTATCTGCTGAAGTTCAGGCAAGAATTTCAGATTGAGAACCTCTGTTCTAAGTAATTTTATAACTTTGAATTCTGTTTCTCTATATATAATCAGTGAGTAAACATTTTCAAACTAAATGGGAATTACCCTGCCTACCTCCCTACCCACTGTTCAGCTTATCTGATTCCAAAGCCTATTTCTACATTAAGAGGTAGGAATTTTCAGGATCATTGGCCTTTCTTGAAAATCATCTACAGAAATGTAAACCTCTATTTAAGGCATCAAAGCAAAATATTTTAGACCTTAAGAATAAATTTGTCTGCTTTCTCACATAGAATAAATTTGTTATAACTAAAATATTACTGATAAGACATAAAAGCTGTCATTTCCTTACAACAAAATTTTCTCATATACTACATTAAAAATTTATTTTAATGATATTTTAAGGTATTGTACATATGAGTATTATGAATAGGTTTATTTGCAAACTTCAAGCATGTATTCTATACATTATAAGGAATGACTAGCTTGAATATTCAGAGAGCTTATAAAATGTTCAGGTGTGATTTTAAAATATATTTTTTTTCTCCTCCCTAGTTTTCTGCTTTAAGAAATGGGCTCTTTTGCCTGAAAGATGCCTTGCAAAGAGGTGTCACTAATGGCTACACTCATGCAATCCTAGCCTACACCTTTGCATTAGCTGGAAAAGAAGAGCAAGTGGAATCCTTGCTCCAGATCTTGGATCAATCTGCCACAAAAATAAGTAAGCTGGATCATTCATTTTAGCGAGTGGGAAACGATCTTGAAACAAAGTGGTGAAACTTTCCAACTGATAGTTCCATTTCAAATAAATGCAGTAAAAGAAATCAAGCAGAGTTCCATGCCACAGGCAATAATAGTTACTTATGGAACTACTTTTGACCTTAAGGAGTTGCTATTTGAGGCTATATTAGTTGGCCAGTTTATAATAATAAAAGGCCACAAACTGGTTAACTTAAACCAAAATTTACTTTTCACAGTTCTCACGGGTAGAAATCTAAGATCAAGATGTGAAGAAGTATTTTTCTTTCTTTTGTAGATGGGTAACTTCTCCCTCTGTCTTCACACAGTTTTTCTTCCATGTGCATGAATCTCTGGTGGCCTTTTGGTGTACACAACTTTCCCCTTCTTCTGTGGACCACCTGGTTGGATTATACCCCACCCTAAAAGGCTTACTTTAATTCAATAACCTTGTTAATGATCCCATCTCCAAATACAGACACATTGAGGTCTCAGAGGGGAAGGCTTCAGCATATGAATTTTAGGGGAACATAGCTCAGCCCCAAATAGAGACCAGGAATGGAATTTGCATTATCTCTCTGTGTAACTTTATAAGGACTTGTTATAAAAGCCATATGAAAATTCTTTGCATAGTGGCTATGTGAAGTTCTTCCTTTTTCCTCAGATAATGTGATATACTGGGAGAAGGAAAAGAAAGCCAAGACAGACAACTTCCCATCTTTTATTCCTTGGGCGCCTTCCAGTGAGACTGAGAAAACTTGTTATGTGCTGCTGGCCGTGCTGTCCCAGAAAAAGCAGGACTTCACCTATGCTGGCAAGATCGTGCAGTGGCTTGTCCAAAAGATGAATTCGCATGGGGGCTTCGCTTCCATCCAGGTGACTGATGTGCTTAATGCAGAAGATGCTGCTCTGCAGTGAGTTCAGGTTGCAAAGATAAGCACCACATAGCACCTTCTAAGATGAAGAATATTTTGTTTTTTAACTCCTGTTTTATTTGGTCAACAACTATTTATGGTCGGTTATTGGGTACCAGGCATCTTTAAGGAAATCTCTATAAATAATAAATAAAATGAGACCTCTTCTTTATGCCCTATCTATAGCTTCCTTTACACAGCAAAAAATAGAATGTGATTTTAGAAGATATTTTGGGCACAGGCATCAGAGTCTCAGTACATTAGACATCAGGCAATGCTATATGCAGACTACAAATCAAACAAAAAGAAAAATTTCTCCCTAATCCTGTGGTCTATGCAATGAAAAGGAACTTGAGAGGAATGAATAATGGGAGAAATGAATAACCATAAAACCAATAATTTATTTTTTTCAAAGGAAATTGAAAGTGCAAGAAAATGCAGATTTATTTCCACAAGGAAAATGCTCATTTCCCTCATTTTTTAGTCTTAGTTTTTTAGTAAAACCATAGACTAATAGAGTCTCCAAAGATCTCCTGATTCTATCTTTCCTTTTGTTAAGAGCCAGGGACATTAAAAACTTCATTCAGTAAATACAACACATAATTTAGAAATGTACTTCAATTCCGAAACCAATTAAGAAGAAGAAAAAGAAGTAGAAACAAAGGAGATAAGGAGGATAGAAGAAAGGTAGAGAAAAGGAGAGAGAAGCCAAACAATGGATAGGTTGGGCTGTGTCACAGGGTACCATCCTCTGAAATCCTGATCAAATGCTCTTGACCCGTGGTCTCTTAGCCCTTGTTCTGATGAGATAACCCATGGGTCCACACCAAAGGACCGATCCTCTGAGGTCTAGATCACAGCACTTGAAGGCTCGAATGGGTGGGGGTAGAGGAGAGAGCTGGGGGAAATTTCCCCTTCATTCTTAAAAGTTATCCATCCTGACTCCCATGCAGGCTTTCTGGTTGTTGTTGTGGCTGGTTCATTGGTTGATTTTTTGAGACAGGGTCTCATTATTTAATCCAGGCCAATCTTGTACTCACCATGTAGCCCAGGCTAGCCTGGAACTCATGGGGATCCTCCTGCTTCTGCCTCCCAAGTGCTGGGATGATAGGGTTAGGGTTAGGGTTAGCCACCACACCCAGCTCCTGCAGGTTTAAATAGTGCAAATTCTTAGGCTGACAGTTCGCAGCTACATAATTTCACAGATGAGTCCAAAGCCAGGGTCTCCAGAAGCTAAGTTCCAAAATACCCAAAGGTCTCAAGCCACTTTGGTGAATGAGATTTAAGAGTGAAGAGAGGGCAAAGGAGAAGGATAAAGCTACTGGGTTAAGCCAGAAAACAATGCTGGACAGAAAAGGGCTACAAGGCAGGTGCTCTGAAGACTGGATTACACTGCTTTCTGTAGGCCAAGGAAGGTGAAACTGAGGATGCAAAGGGAGCAGGACTGGGAAGACAGGGAAAGTTGGGAGGAAGGAGGAGGCAACTCAGCAGCAAACTCCAGGAGTAACCAGCGGCCCTCTGTCACCAAATTACACAACACCTTTACTTTCAGAATTATTTTCAAGAGCAGAGGTTACATTTTATCAGATCATTTGGAAAATTAAAATAAAATTAAGATTTATTGAAGAAAATTAAATAGTAACAAATTTCACAAGTGAATATATTTTTTATTGTTCAGGATATTGCTTCTTGGTGCTGTGTTGGTCTGTTTTAGGAATAGCTCCATGGATGATTGAAAGGTTGCAGTCAAATGGTGACTAACATTATATCGCAACACCTTGTACTGTTCTTTGCAGGACACAACAGTCTGTCTTCTCGCCATCACGAGCTACATGAAATTAACCTTCTCTAATGATCGAAACACTGTCACCTTTACAAGTGAAGAATCCATGGAAATTTTCCAGGTTAACAGAGATAACCGCTTATTGGTTCAACGTTCAGAACTCACAAAAGCAGATGGGGAATACACAGTCGATGTGGAAGGGCAAGGTTGTACATTTATCCAGGTAATAGCAATCTTCCTAAAAAGGAGAAGAATGTCTGCAAGTGAAAAACTCCAGTTCAGTTATATATGAAATGTGATTGTGGCATTTTGCATGATTCCATGTCTATCTCTACTCTTTCTCTCATTTGTTTCCTAGTCAATAACAGAAACTGTCAGTTATTTTATAAAGAAGTACTTGCTCTTTAAGTATACCTGGCTAGTAGAAGTTTCTTGAGGAATATTGTCAGTATAAAGCATTCTATCTTTCTTAAATGATGCTGGTAAAGATTCTGTGTCTGGTGAAAACTGAATTCAATTCAGTCTGATTCCCTGATGAAAAATCTGTAAAGTACATAAATAATGGAAATACTGTATAAAACTAATAAGGCCTTCAGTTCTCACTACAGAATGAGTTTTCTCTTATTTATCTACTCTAGGCCACCCTCAAGTTTAATGTGCCACTACCCAAAAAGGCATCTGGATTTTCCCTTTCCTTGGAAACCGTCAACACCTCTTCAGATGTATTACAGACTCGTTTTGACCTTACAGTGACCCTCAAGTAAGTGTCAAAGTCTGATATTAACTCCAAAACTAGATAGATAATATATCAAAAGATAATTATTTTAAACAGGAGTGGAAAAATAAAATAGGAATGATGGTAGCTATGAGGATGATAGTGATATTATATATGCATCACAGTCCCTTCATATCTTCCTGTGCAGACGTCATGGTTTGGTACAACTTCTGCTAAATCAGAGCTAGGATTACGAGCAAGTGTAATAATTTATACTCCATTCAAGTCTGATTTGAAAACTTTTGCTACAATGACGCCCAGCAATGCTCTAATTTTTTCATATGGAAGTACTGCCAGTTTCGGACAACAAAGACACAACACTTCCTCCTCAAGACATGTTCAGCAGCCATATAGTAGAAAGACAGCAAATGTTTGTTTTATACTTACAAAGAGCAAAATTTTAGATTTTTTACTGTTTTGAAAAGAAAACAAAATAATCCTTTTGAATTCAAATATGATGCACAAAGGCCAAAAGATTTCGGCCTAAATTCATATGCAGGGAAACCTTGAGTAAAATTAGTTTGGGAGACTTTTCCTAAGATTTCTAAATGCAAAATCTCTGGAACATCGGAGCTATGAATTAAGTACATTGCTGAAATCTTAACTTCAGTTCTGGCGATGCTATGCAGAGGTAGGATCGAGACCTAGAATACTTCTTGGGGGCACATCCACTTTGTATTCTGCCACCAGTTACCTTTGAAACAAAGATTTGCTGGTGTTGGGTAAATGTAAGGCCAGCATGAGACTGTGCAGTGCAAATGGATAAGCTTTGCTATAAGTTCTGACTCTGAGATCTCAGATAGACCTAAAAGCAGGACTTGGGAGGTGTTAGATTCAGTTAATTCCTTATCTGTTCCAATATATGTTGCTTTGTGTCACTTCATCCATTGTCACTCGGTTGTGATGGTTCTCAAATGTTTGAAGATGGCTTTCTTGGGTCTCTCCACCTCCATTTTTTCCTGCGCTCCAGACTGCACCTTCCAGCCTCACTGTGACATTAAGTCATTTTCTAAATTTATGTCTGAGCTAGTGGGATTTTTTCTTTCTTCAATTTCAGATATACTGGAATTCACAATAACCCTAGTGTGGTCCTCGTGGATGTAAAGATGCTGTCAGGATTCACCCCACTCATGTCATCCCTTGAGCAGGTAGACAGTAGAAGTAGACATTAATAGTATATTTAGATAAAATCGGTGAGCAAACAAAACCATGGAATTCTTCACTTAGACATACGTCAAAGTTCACCGCTGTGTTTTTGCTGTAATGTAACCTGGGGGATGATGTTCTTAATTTGTAGCAAAACACAGTTATTATCTCCCAAGGTTCATAGTGTATTTCTCTATTTGATTTCTATGTGTGCCTATGAAAACATTATGGTACAAGGAAAATCTCATAAAATAGAACCTGTCAAAATAGAAAGCATGAGCATGCAATTCCACAATGATACTTTCATGTATTTTAATATCTACTCCCATCCTTCCCTGACAATTTCTTCAAAGCTTGAAAACAGTGGCCAAATAATGAAGACAGAAGTCAAGAACAACCATGTACTTTTCTACTTGGACAACGTGAGTTCAATACTGTTTTTCTTTTCTTTTTTTTTTTCCGGTACCGGGGATCGAGCTCGGGTCCTTGCGCTTGCGCAGCAGGCAGCAAAACCACTGAGCTTAATCCCAGCCCGATACTGTTTTTCTTTCATGGGTTTTTTTTGTCTTCTGAGAGGTAAGTAATCAGATGCTTCTGTTTCTTATAGCTATAGATGGCAGGATCATGAAAATATGGGACATGAAAGATACCAAGTGTTCTTCCCCACCAATTATCTTTCCCCATTTACATTCATTGATTTTATTTCATGTAAAAAAGCTTTACTTCCCTGACTAGACAAATCTGAAATTGAGAAACATTATCTTCACGTTTTCATTTCTCATATCATCTAACAGAGTATGGTTACACAGATGTATAATTCTTTTATAGTTTGACTTGAACATCAATAAAGGCTGACATAATTTCTTCAAAATTCATTGCAATTAAATATATTTAAGGTGTACAGTGTGGTGCTTTAATATGCATATACATAATGAATTGGTTAATTTAGCTAATTAACATGTTCATCTCTTAATATAATTATCTGTTTTATGTGATGAAAACAAGATCAACACTCTTGGAAAACTTCAAGTGTACAAAAAGTATTATCAAGTATAGAATTCATACTATACATTAGAGCTTAGAACACATTCATTCTACATAATCAAAACTTGGTACTTTTGACCAATATTTCTCCACCTTCTCTCCCCTGGTAACTATCACTCTACTCTGCATCTATGAATTTAAGTTTTTATATTCCACCTCTAAGTGTGATCACATAGTATTTTGTGTATGTGTTTTTATTCACTTAGCATATTATCTCTAAGTTCATCAATGTTGCACAAATTACAAGATTTTTTAGAGATAAATAATTTTGTATTATGTTTATGTATCACAATTTGTTTGCTCATTGATCTGTTGATGGACAGTTAGGTTATTTCCATATCTTGGCAACTGTGAATAATTCTGCAATGAACATGACAGTACAGATGTCTTTTTGAGATAATAATTTCTTTTGGATACATACTTAGAAGTGGGATTGCTGTATCATACAGAAGTTCTATTTTTCCTTTTTTGAGGAAATTCCAAACTATGGCTTTAGTTTTAGAACCATCTTTTCTGTGTATACTTCTTACCACTCACATAATCATTTATATTCCTCCAAAGTTTTAAACTAAAATCCTTGCACTTCAATAAGTAACAGAAATTAAAATTTCACATGATTTAATGTTAACTAACTCACCTTTCTATTATGTATGACAATCATCAGTCTAGATCTCTGTGATTGAATAGATACTGAACTTCTGGAAATAATTCTCAGTCATTTTCCTCTTTCAGACTTGCTAAAATGTATTTATAATTTGCATCTTTGTAGGTTTTTGATACAGCAAACAGCTTCACTTTTTCTGTTGAGCAAAGCAACCTTGTGTCCAACATCCACCCAGCTCCTGTGGTGGTCTACAATTACCATGAGAAAGGTGGGCAAATGTTAATGGCCTAAGACTATGAACACGGTAGTTACAAAACCATGTCCAAGCTACTACATTTTCCAAAATCAACCTCTCCTCAGACTAGACAATAGACGGTTTTACTTGGTATGAGGGACTTGTTTTTCTCCGTGGCATAGCTTCTGCTCGAGGCATTTTCCAGTGAATGGAGTTTGCAATACTTAGAATGTGAAAAGGCTCCCCTTTAACTTGACCTACAAGCCATACTTAGCCTCCAGGTCTTTTTGTTGTGGTCATTACTGCTCATGCCAAGACTTACCATGTTATGCCACCTCTGTAGAGTTTGACCTAAGAATGGAGTGGACAGTATTCTGAAATGTTCCAGGAAAATTTTATAGATTATATTCCAAACAATTACTAATGCACTGCAGAGATCCTAAAACTTCTCTGTGGAAGGCTGGTACTATTAGTTTCTTATTGAATCTCACATGACGTTTGTCAAGAAGTATTTGAATTCTGTCTTTTTTATTTATTAATTGAATGCATTTCATCAAATGGCAAACTGTAGAGGAATGTTCATGGATTTATAAAATAGGGAGTGCTTACTTCCTTGAAAATTATTATTATTATGTGCTTATTATATTGTATGACTAAGTTGGTTATGACAGTTGGAGATTTAGTAAGGATGCATGTTCCTTTATTTTCCAGATGAATATGCCTTTGGTTCTTACAGCATTGATAATATTTCTGGTTCCCAGTGAGACACATAGAAGGAACAGGTAAAGAAATTAACTACATTATAGACCATTGAAATTTTACTGGTAAGAAAATTATAAAAATAGAACAATGGGGAAACAAAGTCTCTAATACTTCATATGGTTTGTATAGCTCTATGTAACACATTAGTACTCTGATAATCATTAAAATTTTATTAATTCCTTAAAATAGTTTTAAAGAGTTCACAGCCATATATGTGCTTTTTATTAATCTTTTTGTTTTCATTTTATAAATTGATAGGTCAAATGCATATGTATATACATTTGAACACTTCAGTATAGCAAATGTGTATTTGTATGCAGATACATGCTTTGTATCTATCCATCTATATATACATATACATACACACATTTGTTTGTTGTTTAAAATGTTTTAAATCCTAGATGGAAGACTATTTCTTTAACAAGCTCCTCTTCTATATCAATTCAGGGAGAGAACCACGATATACTACACATCTTGAATAAGCCACAATCTTCTATGTCTTCTTGTCAAATTTTGTTTCTTTTCTATCCCATTAAATGCTATGATTTCATATCTGAGTCCATGATTTTCTTTTCTTCTAATACCTCATTCATGATTTTCATTCTAGAAAGCTCAGGGCTTTGTTTGCTAGCAGCTTGAATAATTTACTTTATTATTGTCAACTTAAATTCAAGTTTTAGAAGTTAGAGAACACAGAATAGGAATCCTCCAACATCTAGAGAAGGAGGTACAGGAAAGGAGAGAAAGATACTAGCTGAAACTTGAATGGACTCTGAAAGCTCGAGGAAACAAAAATAAACACACAATCACAATAAAACACTTAGACTCTTCTCAGTTAAAGATCATCAAAAAAGGAGGAATAATTAGACAGTAGTCAAAAATTAAGTGATGGATTCATTGAGTTCATATACAAGATCAGGCAGTTAATCAAAGGGTATTATATCTTCCAAAAATTATTTTATTGCTCTGAATGTATAACTTTTTATTGAAAACAGTACTCAATTATTCAATATAACAATACTATGACACTATTAATGCATTACTATAATAGTCATGTTAAATCATGGCAAGTAATAGTTACTGAGTATAACTTTTCAATGATAAGTTATATAGAGTTGTTATGAGAGTAGTAATATGCAATAATTATTCCTTGCCATGATTTATACAATTGATAACTATAGCATAATAATTATAAAATTGACAATATATATTCTATCAATTCTGTTCCTATCCAATATACCAAACAATGAATGTCATATGGCACAAACTAAATTCCCTTCATTTTCCTTGAAACTGTATCTCAAATGTATACTAGAAGAGTCATATTTTCCTTGAATGAGATATTTGAATAGTCATAGTGAGTGGAGTTTTGATAAAAAATATGAGTGCTGCTATGCAACATATATGTTTGACATGCCATACTTTGGTAAATAAGAGGACTGAAAATGCATACAGAAATTCTTAACACAGTGAAAAAAACTTACACAGCATGGACACTTAGCAGTTTATCTATGAAATTAATTAGTGGGCATACTTATTAAATTAAAGATATAATTTAGGTACTGTAAGCAGCACACGTTGTCAGGGAGACTGCAAGAATAAACAAGTCACGGGCCAGGGATTTAGCTCAGTGGTTCTGGCACCTGCCTCGCAAGCGCAAGGTCCCGAGTTCGATCTCCAGTACCAAAAAAAAAAAGAATAAACAAGACTAATTATCTTCAATTAACATATTTCATATTTCCATGTGGTATATATATATATGTGTGTATATGTATGTCTATATATGTGTATATGTACGTATGTATGTGTGTGTGTGTATATATATATATATTTGTGTGTGGAATATATGATTTTGCAAGAGAATGTATTAGGTAGGCTCATGGGATCAGAGGTGCGCGTCTCCAGTGTCCACAGAGGCCATCTGTGTGCTGGACAGCTGGAGGATCCAGTAGATCTTCAGTCCAAGAAGCCACAGAACAGGGATCGGGTGTACAGTGCCAGTCCAAGACTGAAGGCCTGGGAGCTCCTGGAGAGTTGCTCCGGAGTCTGCATGGAGTCTGAAGCCCATGGCAGCAAACGCCATGCGCTCAAGTGGAATGGAGTCATCAGCACGTGTGCCAACTTCTTTCTTTCCCTTTGATTGTCCCAAGCCACAAGCTTATTGATCGGTGCGTCCCATGACCAAGGTGCGTCCCCTCCCGCAGTTGGCTGGCCTGTGTCCAGTCACCTCTGGAAACGCCTGAGACAGGTCCAGAACTGTCCTTTACTACCCCACTAGGCCTGCCATAATCTAGTCCAGCTGACACATCAGGATCACAGTCACCACGGGGTATTTTCCTGCCATCAGGAGTTCTTTTTCTTTTATCCTCCTGTCTCATGTTGTTTTAATTCACACCAGCAATCTCGAGTCCTCATGGTGGCCAAACAGTCATCTGGCTGTTTGGAGTACAACAATGAATGAAAATAATAATGAAAATGACTGTCCTTAGGGGGCTTAATTCTAATGCGGGAGACCAATTAACCAAACAATATAACAATCAACAGATCGACCAAGTACAGGAGAGAAGTTGCTAAGTGCTATGGGAACTGTACAGTGGAGAGAGGGATCAGAAGATGGAGAACACCCCAGGAGACAGAAATAGGAGAAAGACTGAAAATCAGACCTGGACTTTAAGGATGATCTTACTAAGACAGTGATGAGCAAAGTTTTCAAGAAGGAGATGAAACTAACCACATAGATATCTGAAGAAAAACTATTCCTGGCTATGGGATCAGCTAGCAATCATCTTTTTTGAAAAAAAGGCCCATAGGTGGAAGTGTGTCCTCATTTTCAAAGAACAGCAACTGAAGTCACTGTGGCTGGAGCAGAGAGAAAAAGAGGGGATAGGGCAAGAGGAGGGAAGGCGATGGACCTGACAATGGGGAGCTGGGGCAGGTAGGGCATGGAGGGTTACACGAGAACTTTAGCTTTCACTCTGAGCAAAACTGAAGTCGTTGCAGGGCTTTGGATTCAAAAGAAAGCTGATCTGGTGTTATAAAATGATTACAGACTGCTGTGTTGGGAATAGGCCATGGGAATGCAGCAGTAGAAGTGAGGAGACCTGGTAGAATCTACTACAGTAATACAGGGAAAAGGTGATGCTGGCTTGGACCAGTGTAGAAGCAGGGGATGGTAGAAAGGGATCAGATTCCAGATGGGTTTTGAAGGTAAATCTACATTGCCTAGTCTGGCCTCAAACTTCAGATCCCATTCCTCTGATATAATGCAGTAGTCAAAATAAAACATCTTGAGAAATGCACTTGTCAGTGTTTGTGGTTGCTCATCCAACCTTCCCCTTCCTTTTAAATTTATAGAACTTGTGTTCTGCTCAGTCCTAGGGTGCTGTGAATGAATTGCAATTACATTATCATGCAGCACAGCCTCCAAGATTCAGATTTGGCTCTAGGGGATTTGTTGGAGAGGACTCCCAAAGTCAGCAGCCAGCCGTGAGGATGAAGGACTCAGGATACAGAAAGAAGAGTTGAACTACAAGGCAGTCCCCCAAAGGTCTCAGTACACACCCTGGGGGGTTGATGGGATGCCTTTGAGATTTGTCCTAATTTGAGACAAGAAAGCCAGGCCTTGATATCAACACAGCACTCGTTGTTGCCCAATGAGGGAAGAGAAGAAACCTTGGGAAAGGGACATCCCTGAGGCCCTGACTGCCGCTGCAGGAAGGGAGTGGCTAAGAGCACAGGTCTAGCGGGTAAGTATAAACTGGGCAGCAGCTCTGCTTCTTGGTTAAAAGAGAGGAGAGAGGGAAAAGGAGAGGAAGAAAAGGAAAGATGAAGGAGGAGAACTTTTTTTCTACTGACTCCTTTCTTCCAGATTCAGATATCATTAGAAAGAAGTAATCTTTATTATAACCAAAAGGCAAATATGACTTGAAGCAGGGAGATAGCAAGAGACTTGGGGAGAATGAACCACGAGCCCCTCCACACGCTCCCCTTTCTCCTAACTCAACAAGAGGAACCCAACAGTAAGCTAAACAATCAGTTTCTGTAAAGCATGATGTTGAGAAGGAGCGGGGTTCTGAAGGAGGGTGAGGAGATTTCTCAAAGCAACACTGGCCCAGGGAAAGGCCAAGGGGAGAGAGAGCAGGGACCGCTCAGATAAGGATAGGAGGGCCTGGCCAGGGCACTGGAGGCTCAGCAAACAAAGGCCTCCTTGGAATGGCAAGATTTTCTTGACCAGAAATAAAATATCCATACTTCCTGAAAGAAAGTCTTTGTTTTGTTTAATGTTACAATTAATGGTGCTAACAAAAGGAAACCTGCTAATTTCCCTGAGCTCCTGTAGACCCACTTCTAAGTCAAACTTTCCTGCTTGTAAACCTGAGGTTGATCTCACCTTGCCTGAGACATAGCCATTTCCCTTTGGCAACCTATTCGGGTCTCCCGGGGTTCGTTTGCCTGGGCTGTTTGCTTTCACTTTATAACAAATGCTGCTTTCTGCTTTTGCTCTACAATAAATACTTTTGCTCGATCCCCTTTGACTCTGCCTTGTAATCCTTTCTGGGTTGAGAGAAGAACTCACCAGCCAGATGGCAACAATACTGACATGCCTAAGAAGCAGAGCAGAAAAATGCACAAAACTCAGTGGCATTACTGTGATGCTGAACCAATACCAGAGGAAAGGAATTAATTTTTAAAAGTCTCTTTTAGTTCAATATTCTGTTACTGGCAGATAAGGGTGTTTTTCTTCATTTTTAATTATTTTCTTTTTTCTATATCATTATCATATAGAATCTTCCATGTTTTATTTTTTGTTCTCTTTCTAGATTGCTAATCCCAGATAAATAATTTTAAGAAGGACCAGTACAAGGGCTTGGTTAAAATGAATTACTCATTTTTCACAGAAATGTTGTTTATGGCTAGAGCTTTGGGGGAAAGACGGGGGGGGGGGGGGGGGGGGTTAGTATCCACAGGGACTTACCCAAATATTTGTTATCTGTCAGTTACTATGCTAATCATTTAAAGTAAATTACAAGGGCCGGAGATTTAGTTCAGTGGTTCTGCTGCCTACCTTAAAAGTGCAAGGTCCTGAGTTCTACCCTCGGTACCAAAAATAATAATAATAATAATAATAATAATAATAATAATAATAAAATACATTGCTCTAATTTCAACTGCAAGCTCATAAGGTATTGCAGTCATTATGTTCCCATTAGTATACAAAGAAAAGGAAGCCCAGAGGAATTAAGCAGTTCGTGCAGTGCCTCATCTAGTAGGAGGCAGAACCAGCAGCACCACCCCTGGCTGCAGAGCTCCAGGGACTTGGCCCTTCTTGTAACCACCTTGGAAGAAAAGGAAGGAAAATACTGCACAAGAGCAAATTCTAAACATGCTACTATTTGAAGGTCAGTGTGAAAAACTGTAGTTTTCGGATAGCTATGAAAAAACAAGTGTGTCAATCTTCCGGCAAAGGGGTTGCATCCACGCAGACTGCTCCCAGCACAAACATTTCACTCCCACCCGCACTCGGCCGGCAAAACTCCATCAGCCTCTACCGGCAAAAAGTTCCTGGCAACGTTTATAATTTGTTAGGACAACTTATTGCCGAGGCCAGCACGATTACAGACCCTTTATTATGCTCACCAACAGCAGGCCCGGAGAGAACACTGGGACCTGGCCTCCTCGCAGCAGCCCGGTGCATGCAGACGCCTGTGCGTCTTCACACCCTGAGCGGCCATCAGGGAGAAGATGGCCGGAGGCTGCTCACCTTCACAGCCGGAAGTCCCTGCTCACCGAAGCCGGGACACCCGCTTGTCAGGAACAGGTT